TTTTATGAAAAAGCCATCTCATTGTTCCGTCACTGTCAAAAATGAAAACAGTAATCCATGACATTAGAAAGGAAAAGAGAACAAAACAGGAAATTTCATTACGACAGGGCATAATCAGTACATGTGCAGCCATAGTCTCTCCACCTTTTAAAAGGATAAAGAACAAGAAGATGTACAAAGAGAGACACAGATTATCAAAGGCATTTAAGGACTTCTAAACAGCCTTCAGCCTGAAAAATATCTGAAGGGTAGATATGGGAAGAGCCTATAAATTCTGGAGCAGAATGAAGAATGGAATTGTTCACTTGCATCTTCCAATATTAGGAAATACCAAAGGAAACTAGTGGATGATAAATTAAAAATATACAGAGTTCTTCACACAATTTGTATTACATTGTTGAACTCTCTGCCGCAAGATTATGTCTGCATTAAAAATTTGCACAGATTCAAAAGGTAGTTAAAAAGCTCAGAGAAGAAAAATCTGTAAATGTTTATTAAAAACACAGTAACGTCGTAGCTCAGGACGTCTTTGGACCATCTATCTAAAGCTAAGAAAATACCCACATCCAGTTACCACCAACCCTTTACCTCCTCCTTACAGTTGAGCATCAACCTAGCCCTGGTAAAACCTCAAATCCCTCCCTGGAAAGGTGGAAAGAAGACTTCAGAAAAAGAAAAGGGGAAGAAAACAACTGATTACTGAGAAGAATGAACTGAAATGAAATGCAGTGGAGGGCTGAAGAAGTGAGAGAATAAAAGGTATAAAAGTAGGTGACTAAGGGGCAAACAAGACAGACAAAGACAATGCTGGGCTACAGAGAAATATCATCTGGCCTTCCTGAGTACCCACATAGTTACCTTAAAAAAGAGATAACATATTTTAGGGTATGACTCAGCAAGCCAACGTGCCTCTATTAGCATAACACTTGAGCATGTGCTTGATGTAACTGTAAGATTCACGGAAGTTAATGATGTTAATGTAAAATATACTTTGCATCAGACAGCAAAAGACATTTTATGTAGAGCAGAAAGATAAAATCTGAACTTGCTGAAAGGCCTCCTGATAGATGAAGTATGCTGATAGACCAGAGTGGCAGAGACCCAAGGGTATATGCTAGAACAGAAAGCCGAAAGGGAGGAATAAATGCTACACATAAAGATATGGTCTAATCGAAGAAGTAAGAAATGCATCTAGTGCCTAAAAGGAAGCTGAGGGAAGGCATAAAAATATTCTACTCTTTATTCCAAGGCATAAATAAAGCTATAGGATCCACCCGAGGGTACTGAGAGAACTGGCAGAGGAGCTGGCCAAGCCCCTATCCATCATTTATCAGCAGTCCTGGCTATCGGGGGAGGTCCCAGTTGACTGGCGGCTAGCAAACGTGACGCCCACCCACAAGAAGGGCCGGAGGGCAGACCCGGGGAACTACAGGCCTGTCAGTTTGACCTCAGTACCAGGGAAGCTCATGGTATTGAGATTTGATTATCTTGAGAGTGATCACACAGCACTTGCAGGGCAAGCAGGCGATCAGGCCCTGTCAGCATGGGTTTATGAAAGGCAGGTCCTGCTTGATGAACCTGATCTCCTTCTATGACAAAGTGACGCGCTTGGTGGATGAGGAAAAGGCTGTGGATGTGGTCTACCTTGACTTCAGCAAGGCTTTTGACACAGTTTCCTACAGCATTCTCCTCAAGAAACTGGCTGCTCTTGGCTTGGACTGGTATACGCTTCATTTGGGTTAGAAACTGGCTGGATAGCCGGGCCCAAAGAGTTGTGGTAAATGGAGTCAAATCCAGTTGGAGGCCTGTCACTGGTGGTGTTCCCCAGGGCTTGGTACTGGGGCCGGTCCTCTTTAATATCTTCATCGATGATCTGGACGAGGGCATTGAGTGCACCCTCAGTAAGTTCACAGATGACACCAAGTTAGGTGCATGTGTCGATCTGCTCGAGGGTAGGAAGGCTCTGCAGGAGGATCTGGATAGGCTGCTCCGATGGGCTGAGGTCAACTGCATGAAGTTCAACAAGGCCAAGTGCCGGGTCCTGCACCTGGGGCACAATAACCCCAAGCAGAGCTACAGGCTGGGAGATGAGTGGTTGGAAAGCTGCCTGGCAGAGAAGGACCTGGGAGTATTGGTGGATAGTTGGCTGAATATGAGCCAGCAGTGTGCTCAGGTGGCCAAGAAGGCCAACAGCATCCTGGCTTGTATCAGAACCAGTGTGACCAGCAGGGCTAGGGAAGTGATCGTCCCCCTGTACTCAGCTCTGGTGAGGCCACATATCGAGTACTGTGTTCAGTTTTGGGCCCCTCGCTACAAGAAGGACATCGAGGTGCTTGAGCGGGTCCAGAGAAGGGCGACCAAGCTGGTGAGGGGTCTGGAGAACAAGTCCTATGAGGAGCGGCTGAGGGAGCTGGGCTTGTTCAGCCTGGAGAAAAGGAGGCTCAGAGGCGACCTTAATGCTCTCTACAGGTACCTTAAAGGAGGCTGTAGTGAGGTGGGGGTTGGTCTGTTCTCCCACGTGCCTGGTGACAGGACGAGGGGGAATGGGCTAAAGTTGCACCAGGGGAGTTTTAGGTTGGATGTTAGGAAGAACTTCTTTACCGAAAGTGTTGTTAGGCATTGGAATGGGCTGCCCAGGGAAGTGGTGGAGTCACCATCCTTGGAGGTCTTTAAAAGACGTTTAGATGTAGAGCTTAGGGATATGGTTTAGTGGAGGACTGTTAGTGTTAGGTTAGAGGTTGGACTTGATGATCTTGAGGTTTCTTCCAACCTAGAAATTCTGTGATTCTGTGATAGCAGAAGACATATATGTGAAACAGAACAAAATAACTATGTGGGAAAGCTAGCCATGCAGTATGGGATAAAGGAGAATACAAGTAAATTTGGTGGCAACTGATAAGAATGAGGCTGAAAGTAAAAGTCCTGGCCAGTCTCTTAGTTACTTTCTCAAGAAGAAGGAGAAGGAGAGCTGTGGGAGTTATAATTAGAAAATCACAGCAAATAATGGAAACAGCTATCTAGAAAAATCCAAACTGTCAGGGACTAGCACCTTTCACAGCAAAATGGGTAACCTGCAAAAATTTTGAAAATTCTTTTTAAAAAGAACACTTTTAACCATTCTACCACTCACTACAGATTTTTGCAAACATTGAAAGTATTTGTGAATTCATAAATTGTTCATTTAATAGCTAAAGTTTTCATTTTAAAATGTTATTGAGCATAATTGAAAAAAAAAAAGCTTACACTTTTGAACAGAAATGAAGCTTTAAATGCTAGCTGAAATGCTAGCTCTTTAGCGACTCCAAACTATTCTTCTATTGCATTTTTCAGAATTCAAAAAATAGTGAAATTTTCCATTTTTTTCTAATTGCTAATGAGCTAGAAAGATCTCTTGCTGCTTAAACTCAGATATCTCAGAGATGTTCTTGCAAAAATATATCCCAAACTGCACAGATCACCTTTTCCCAAACTGCATGCTACCACGAAATTGGAAGGATGCCTTGAAAAGTCAGAAAAATAGGTCTTCGTTTGGAATAAAAATGATGAAGAGACCATCGCAGAAATGCCTTGGGAAATTTCTTGACCAAACTGAGAGGATTTCAGTTTAAGGACTTCTTCAGAACACTGTACAGCTGTGACCAGCAGGGAGGCAGACGGAGAACTAGGAAGACAAAAACTGTTCAGTGAGTAATGTGTGTAGCCCCACCTTTGCTTGCTAGCATGTCCCAAAGCACTTTTCTTCCAACACTAGCAGATAAATAAAATGGATATACTTTAGAATGGATAACCATATGGTTTGTATATCTTTCTATGCTATTTTAAGTATAATACATGGTAGAGACCTACGAAATAGGATTATTTGCTTTCTGTTGTACAGCAGACCTGCTCTATTTGGGGACAGAGACAGAGCAGAGGGACAGAGAGAGCAGAGTGTGCTACCCCCACAGGCTGCCCCTGAGTGCAATAGAACAATGCAGTTGCTCCATGTTGGGCATATTATTAGGTTTCCAAGCTGAAGTAAATATCAGTCTTAACTAATAATTATTGGCTAGTAAATATTTGCTTAAATTGTGATTTTTTTTTTATACCCCATTTCAGCATACATGTGTTTGTCAGCTTTGTGACTTTCTAGTGTGGAATGCTGTTAACAGGATGAAAAAAAAAAAAAAAGGGAAAATGCAAAATGCATTAACTTAAGGAAAGAAAACCAATATAAAAACAGATTTTATTCCATTACTCTTAAACTCTGTCCTTACTCTTCCCAAGTCCTTCATTTCCTCTCACCCTGTTTTTGATAACAATACCGATCGGGGTTTTTGTCTGGATACAGTGTATTCTTTCCAGTTTTTACTGACATTTTTTTTAGCACATACAAAACACTCCACAAGCACATGTAAATCACCACTTTCTTGCCCAGTGGAACAGAATTTCAGTTACCAATGCCAACAGTTGCCTACAGAAGGCATCTACATCTGGTCTGCTACATCCAAGACAGCAACCACAGGCACACGTTTTGCTTTGTTTGTAATTCATCACTGTGGTGCAGCTGAGCCCCAGATAAAAAAACTATGAGCCTCTGGGGTCAAACAGACAAATGTTTTCTGTCACAACAACTTTTTTTTTTTTTTTTTTTCAGGGAAGTGAAGCCATAACAATGTATGTAAGAGGTTTTGTGTAAATCATTAAAGGCCTACTGACTTAAATTGTTGCTAACACCACAAAGTTGCTTAATGTACACTTCAGAGTGTGAAGGCAGAACAGATGAATAGTCTCACAAATCTTATTTGCTCAGTTGGAAAAATGCAAAAATACTTGTTTAAATAAATAAATAAATAAATAAATAAATGAATATGTGATTCCTTCTCATTGCCATTCAAATTTAAAAGACAAATTAATATTAATCATTCCTGACTGCACAATGTTTTTTACTGGGATGCAGAAGGGCAGATACATTCAGTAAACAAATTTACTTTCAAATCCACACAGAATTCAATACCTACCTAGCCACTCGTTGAATTTTTTTACTTCACTAGGAAGTCCCAGCTCAGTAAAATCACCAGCATGTATTAACACATCTCCATATGGCATTTGGATGGGATCAGTTCTCGAGTGAGTATCAGAAATACAGACAAATCGAGTATATCCCGGAGGTTTGGGAGCATCATGGGGTACTGGATCAACCCTGCAGGAAATGCATCGTAACAAGGTTATAAAGTACTTACGAACTTCTTAGTGTCTACTTTGCAATTCTAATACCAATTTTTACCTTTACAAAAGACTACACAGTCTTCTAGATATGTCTGGTGGAAGGGATTTATTAAAACAAACCTATCACTAATGGGAGGTGTAAAAATTCTTGATGTTCACATCACAACATTTTCAGTATTTGTTGGGTAGCTGTATTAATTTAAAGAGATTAAGGAAAAGAGATTGAACTATGGCAGCAACTCTAAAACAAATACAAATAAATCAAAGGCATTGCCAGTTTCAAAGGAACTGTGCTATCCTGTTTCATTGTTTAAATATGATTACACGGTACACGGGGAAAAGATTTATTTTAGAAACACAAATATATTTAAATGCATTTTTTTAATTATAACAAATTTAATTAATACATTTTGGAGATATGTTTCAGTGTGGTAATGCAAAACAAGATAAGAACACTCCTGACAACAACTGTAAATTTACGTTCAAGCCTGACTACTGTCAGGACAAATGTGGCAACTTTCCGGGCTTAATTATACTAAATGAAATCAGACGCTGTGAGGGTTGAGGCTCCATTGTTCAAAGACCAATCTCGCTATTCTAAGCTGAGGAAAATAAAAGATCTGACCCAACTTGATGAGACTTACTTATGACTTAGGAGAGAAAAGCAGAGAACACCTCTCTGCAATATCAGTCATACTTATTTCCAACTCATTCAATTTTATACCCTCAATCTATATTTTGTTACAATATTTAGAAGTAAATGTATCTATATGCAGGTAAACCATATCTGCTATTCCAATTAGGGAATTCTGGTGAAATAAAATCAAAAATTCAGAGATGCAGAAGACATATTTATGTCACTAGAAACCAAAGAGGCATACAGAAATGTTATGAATTATTTTATGTTTAAAACATTTATTTTGAAAAGAGAAACAATAATAGTTTTGTTTTGTTTATTGTTACAGTATATAATACATGCCTTGCTGCTTGTGCTTCAATTCAGGATCTTACTGTTATCTAAATAAACTCTCAAAAAAAGTTAGGAGATTTTTATTAATAATACTACTCCTGAGTCAGTAGGTCTACTGACTCAGGTAGTTTTCAATAGAAACTATTACTTGAAAGACGTAACATAATCATTTTTAATCACATGGTCTTTTCACTAAGTCAAAGAATAATTCTATTAAATTTATAGACAGGTAAACTGAGGTGTTCCTGAAAACTTCACTAGACAAGTGAATAAAATCTAAAACATTCAAATTATGTTATATATTAAAAAAAAACAACAACAACAACAAAAAAACAACTCAGCATTTTCTACAACACAACTACAAAACTAGGGTATGAATAAATTATTTTTTAACTATTTTTCCTACACCTTTTAGGATGAAGGAGTGTTGTTGGGTTTTTTTTTGTTTGTTTGTTTTTTAATTAAGCCATTATACTAAACATCAGCTATTCATGAGTTGGTTTTTTTTCCTGTACAGGGACACTGGAGAAACCATTATGAGTACCTTATAGCATTCTCTCTAAAGTGACATTTTCTGAGAAGAAAATACCCAAATATGAGGTAACGTGTAAAATTAGCTGTGATCAGATCATACCTAATGAACACAGTATATTTGTTCATACCCATGTGATCATACCCAATGAACAGTATGTATGTGCTGGTCATACACGTAAGTATGCACACAGTGGAAACTGTGAAACCCATCTGAAAAAGAGAGAAATGTTTGGACCCTGAGACACACCAACTGCAAACACTATGTAGGTGGCTGAGGGAGTATGTATGCTGTGAGAGGGTCACAGGCCCATGGAGAAGGGAAGATGAGAAAAGAATTAGATGGTGGGGTAGGTATGGCAGGTCCCAACCTCAAACAATGGAGCTGCATATAAAGAATGCTTCTGTTTTTGCAGGTATGAGAGATGGCACAGAGGGAGCCCCATGGTTGGTGAGTGGAGGTACCATGGATGGTACCAAAAAAGGAGGATGGTGGGTTTCAAACGAGTGAGTGAGTGTTGTCTTAAGGTACAAGCTATTTGAAGGGTGCTGCATTTAGTTCACAGAGTTCCTCATCAAAATGAATTGGGACAACTGAAGAAGAAAGAAGGGGAGCTGACCCTGGCTACAGCCGTTGAAGCTGAAAAGATTAAACATTGGTTCAGTAAACAAACTTCTGATTATTGCTGTCCCTGCCCAGCACTTGGCAAAGTGAGCTACAGGTCATACCAGTAAGCCTGGCTCAAATTATGCATACTACCCTGGCACAAACCAGGGATACGGACTGATTTAAGAGACCACTTAGTGACCTTTCACCATAGGGTAGTCTTTAAAGCAGTTGCTGCTTCTTCCTCTGAAATCTTTCAAAGTACAGCACAGCCACAAGTTGTGTGTCAGGGATGCATTTCCCTTGTTGCTTCTCTGGAGCTGAACGGAAAAACAAGAGACTTACCATGGCAACCCACACAGCACCTAATACTGATGCTTTTCCTTATAGTTTGGACAGGGAGGAGGGAGGTATGGACAGCATTTTCATGTTGCTAAAGTATGCATAACTTTCAGAGCCTGTGCAGTGGGCCAGAGAATATTAATGGAAAAGAGGTATTAAAAAAAAAAAAAAAGAGATGCAGATTTTCAAGTTATATGCACACACATATATAGGTAAAAACATACATCAAGTTTCACAAATGCATCTAAGTTGCATTGGAAATCATTTCTGAAGGCTCGATCCCCATGTTCTTGGGTAACACGTTGCCACAGCAGCTGTCATACCAACACCCAATGCACTGCTTGCAGCATGAGCAGAGGAAGACAGATCTGATTATTTTTGTGCAAATGTTTTTGTTTTTCTTCAAAGCAATAGGTAAATGTAAAGAAAAATTGAAAAATGAAGTTAAAAACTCAGAGAAAAAGCAGTAATAAAGGTTAGTTTTTACATTAGACTTTAGTAAAGTTTCTCAAAGAAACATGACAGGAACTTTCTAGGAACAACTGATGGATGTGAAAACAATGTCAGTATTTATCACCCTTCTCATCTCTGGCAACCCAGTCATCTCACAAGCATGGGAATGGTGGACTAAAATGGGACTAGGAAAGTGCTCTTAGTATGTTATGGATGCTAAAAAATTAAACACAATATAGAACTGCACTGAGGACCAAGGAAGAGCTCTAGGATTGAATTCAGAAGAAGAGCACAAAAAATAAGTACAGTTCAAGTAGTTTACACAAGGTCAGACATGAACAGGTCTGAAGTATGTGATTGCCTGTAACATCACCAATGTAGTTCTTTTAAGCTATCCACACATGCAGAGCAAAGCCCCCACCTCTCTGAAGTTAATGACAAAACTTGCATCGACTAAAGCAGGGCTAAGATTTCACCCATAATTGTGTGAATAAAAGGTGCTTTTGTTATACTTTTTGTACATACTTTTCCCTTCTTTGTCACTCTTCTATTCAGTCATAGGAGGCAAAAGCAATCCTGCTGGTATTCAGAAACATTCTTTACAATTTCTGTACCAAGAAACGAGCAGGTCAGATTGTGGTAGATGTTTCAATTGATTTAGCCTGTTCTTCTATTTGCCCAAGCCTTTTCAATGGTATTAATCATTCATAAGAGATTGCTAAATTCTTCTGAAGAACAATTTTCTAAGGATAGCTTATTTTCAACTACTTGCCTAGGTTCTGAACTTCCATCATGCAGTTGATTTTCTAAGCCCTCTGGTAATATGATTTGTTACTGGTTATAAATTTAAGCAAAGTATTGTTGAGTTCAAAGTATATACTAATAAATAACTCATTTTCAGCCCAGTGAAAAACACTCAGCTTTTAGAACTGGTGAACAAATTCATGAGTGCCCAGGAACTGTCTGAATATGCACAAAGAATGGCTAAGCTTTGACAAATAAAGCAACCTGCATTTGTTTTTTTTCATTTATCAAAGTATTTCTGAACCCACATTAATTTGTACTTTTGCTACCATTTGCCAGCTCTGTAAACAAAAGATATTTCCCAGTGCTAATACGCGACTCATTTTACTGTTTGCATTTCAACAGTACCTAAAAGCCCCAAACACAGACTATAAGCGAATATACTGTCCCCAAAAAAATGACTGTTTGCTCACCATCCTGGTGTATGCTAGTCTCCAGATTTTTTTAACACAGTATCTAATTTATGCCAAAGAATGTATATAAGCATTCACTAAACAGTCACACACCATTCAGCCACTCATAACTGCTGACTTTTTTCAAATGCAGAAATCATGTTCTATGTGTGGAATTTATCAATTCATTTTAAATACCAAAAATGTGAGTGGGGTGATTATTTATTCAGTCTTGGTGAAGAAAAAAAAGTTTCCTTTAAAAAAAAATGAAAACCAGTCTTCTCATCTGAAGATAAGGCTGCATTTCTCTTTAATAAACACAATAAAATGGTGCAGACATTTTTATTCCCTATAAAAATATTTTACCATAGAATTTTATACTTAATTTATTTGTAATAGCTTTACTGTTTTGCTCTTCCTTTATGGTTTTGCTCTTCCTTTATGCTTTAAACTTTATGGCAGGTTTCATTTTGTAATTATAATTCTCCACTTACATTACAAGTAAATCATTTAGAGCAGTTAATTTTACTGATACTGTCATTATATAAGAAGTCAGAAACAAACACATTATTTTAATTACCCTTTAAGCACTTGGCATCTTCGGCACGTTGGTATGAAAGTAAGTTGTCGGATGGGTGCCCACACCATTTTACTTATTGATGTCATTTTTTCTTTGTATGCAGCTGTAGTATAACTAACCAAACAATATCTGTTGTACAGATATGGGCTTGGTATTTCAACAGCTATTTACATCAATAAGTAAGTGCATAATGCAAACAAACAACTATTAAGATTGCAGAAAGTATCAGCTTTGTACAATCTCTTATTTCATTACCACTGCTTTTTGTTTATTTCTTTTTTTTTTAATACTATTATGCCTTAAAGTTATGCTAGTGGAATGATCTGTCTCCCACCCTTTAACAAAGTACTTACATTTTCCAAATGACCCAATTTTTGTATCACTATAGTAATTATTATTAGAAAGGCAGCAAAGCAGTGTTCTTTGCATTCTTTTTGACTGGTCCATCAAATACCACATCAACAAGGCAATAACAATTCAGAAGGCTGTGCTAGAGCAGTAACAAAACTATAATACTTACATTTGCACATGTGGGGGCTGGAAACGTCCCTGGTTAATGTTGTAGAACGTGAAAGCCTGTGTGGGGTTGGAGCTGTACTCATCCACTTCAATTATGAGTCTACTATGCTGATGCCTTCTAGCTGCCATAATGTGTGACTGGGCGAAAGCCATGCTTGCACAGGGTAGGTCTGCTTTTTCAGGCAATCATATCTGCTATCTTCCTACATTGATGGAAGAAGACCATGACATCTCCTTACCTATGCAGCACTTGCCTCTGAAAAACCTAGAAGCAGATTGAAGAGATGGAGCATAACTGTTTGACAGTTAATTTATTTGGGATTTGCTTTATTTAATAGGAGATGAAGATCAAAAGCAGGATATGGAGGGAGGAAGACACACAGCTCAAAGAACTAATTACAAACCTTTCTAAGCCAGCAATTTGATGAACATACTTGAGTTGGGGGTGGGAAGTGGGTGGAGGAAGTAAGCTTGCAAAAAAAATACAGGGAGCAACTTGCTCAGATATTTCAGACATTTAATACAGATCTAAAACACAAGGCAGTCACTCTTCAGAATGGTTTGTCAAATAATAAAGTTTTGTCAACACATTTTTTTTTTCCCAATTGTATTGCTGAATGTTTATTCCCCATATTCCTTCAAGAAAACCTCAAACCCAAAACTTAATACATGCCAGTGCATAACTAAAATGTGAGTTATTTAAAAAGAATCAGTTTAATCAATTCTCCAGAAAATCTCCACCATTTAGTACGGGTATGCATTGCAGGTGGTTGTTCATCATATCCCAAGGAACCGAGCAAACCGGGCCTTCCATGCACATGCTTCTGGTTTAGTTGTATCACTGAAGAACCTCCTGATACAGATATGAAGGGCTCCCCCCTTCAAACACATTCTCTTCTTAGACAGCACTAGCCCCAGAATCCGAATTCACTAGAAAAGAAAGTGATTCAAAGGCTAACACACAGTTAAATGTTATTAAATATAAAAAAGGTAAAATCCATACAGGTTTTATGTTAGGGAATAAATTTTCCCTGAAAGTTATGCAAGTCTAGAACAACGGCACTGAAACTGGATATAGGAACAATAAAGTAAAGCCAACTGGAATGTAAAGAGTATCCCCTAGAAACAGCAGAAAGTAATTTAACCGTGAATTTTATTTTTATTTTCCAGTTTTAATAAAAAATGGATTATCAGGAATACAGGTGGGTATTTTTACAGTATTTTGTTGTGTCCTTTTTAAAAGTTGTCTGTCTTAAATATTTACTTTCATGCAAGCAAGGGCATCTAGCAATGTAAGGAATCTGCTTTAGAAGATGTATTTCATGAAAAGCCGTGCTAGAATGCAGCAATTCGATTGATATGTGCATCTTCTGCAAAAAAGGACTCTTTACGTCACCTTGTTGATCTGCTGTGATGCACTGTGACGGGACCACTGCCAAGAGTGATGGACAAGGAAGGTCTTCGTATTCACTCAATTTTTTAAAGCTATTTATAGGTACTTAGGTCTAATTCAGTTCTAGTGGGAGACAAGCACCTAAGCATCTTTAAAAATCTGGGCTTCAGTTCTTCACCTAACTACTACAGATGTTAAGTGCTCCAAGAAGTGGTATTGTATTTTTGTTTTGGGAAATGTTGTCCTTAGGAAGCTGGAATGAGAGATTCAGCTCATTTTTGTTACTTGGTGAATGGCTGTAATATAACGACAACTCGCTGTCAGTAACAACCCACAGGAAAACAGTCTGAGAATGAGAGCAAATTCCTTCATGCCCTCCCCTAGAAGTGAGTGGTTAAGGAAATGGTAGAAAAACAGCAAATAAAAATTTGGATTTTAAACACTCTCAGATGATTTGTTCAGGCTACAGAACAAGCAGCAGCACAACGAAATGTGACAGAGCAGGGGGAGGGAAGGGAGGCATAATTCTTGTAAGAATAATCGAGTACAAATCGCTGCACTTAGGAAATAAGAAATTATGATGGCAGATGTGAAGAACCCTCCCTGAGGAGCTTCCTGTATTACATGATGCATTTGTAAAGAAGTTTGAATGGGCAAGGTCAGAGATTTTATAGGGGGTAAACTGTTCCAAGTGAAGCTACTTGTGTTTGAAACTATTAGAACTGGTGACTTCTAGAAATATTCTCTAGTATGATTAATAATTTAAGATTCCATGGCTCTATGTGAGGATTTCAAACTACCTGAAAAACACCCTGTGTTTTATAAACCAAGGCTTATGCCCACTTTACACACAGATGAACTGAAGCTGCAAAGGCATTAAGGCACTGCCTGGTGGGACCTAGAATCTCCCTTTGGCCTTAGGAAGATCCCAGTGCCTACCGCAGCTAAGACACAGCTTTTGTCAGCCTCCTTGTTGGTCCTGTCTTTCATGACTACTCTCAAGTGATACATCAAATCCACTGCACAAGCAGCAGATGCATTCAGGCACCTCCGATGTCCACTCAAGCTCTGTTTCCTTTTTCTGGGTAAGGGGAAAATAGCATTTAACAATGCAAACTAACTCAAAAGAACATTTTTTTCCAACTTTGTTTGCAAACAGAAGCAAAGCACAGCAAGTACAGCACTCATACAGCATTTAGTGCTCAAGACTTCTTTTAAGCGGGGAATCTATCCTCATACGCGGGAGATCATGTGAATCACACCATTAGGCCAGCCTTTGAGTATGCTAGCCACAAACATTCACCTAGAAGTCCACCATATAAAATGTAGGATATAGAAAGATACATCTCACTTAAAGAAAGAAAGAAAGAAACAAACAAACAAACAAAAAAAAAACCACCACAGTACTGGTGAGCCTTCTGCCAAATGACAGTCCCCCAGTGTCAACCCTGGACACATAAAAAGTATCCAAGACAGGAGGGGGAAAAAAAAAGGAGCCAGATACTGCACTGAAAATAAGATAACTAGCAATCACATGAATATCTTGTGCTAAACAAAAACCAGATACTATAACACACATAATCAATAAACATAATTCAATAGCAAGCTTAATTCAAGCTCATGTCAGAAACATACACAGATGTCTTTGAACCTTACCTTTCAGTCTAGGGTTTCTTTCCTGCATAAGTGGTTGGCTGACTATAAACATTATTGGTGTTCAACAGAACAAGCTGTCTCTTTCCAGCTTGGCTGATAACCCATTACTCCTCTTTCTGTTTCAATTTCCAATAGTCTCGAAAACTGTAACTTTTTTTTTTCTTCTAATATTCTGAAATGTCTTCCTTTCCCAAACCAGAGTATAAAATGTAGCAGGGAATAATTATCTGCTTTTATAGCATGCAAGTTTTAACATTATATGCCCAGCATTACGAATACAGAACACTAAGACTCAAATCCCCACAGCAACAACATGCTAACCATCCTCTTCCCCCAGACTTATGGAGCTGTGGGATGTCTGCCAGAGAAACACAGGGAAATGTAAAACTGACTGCAAGAACATGAATGCTAAAATAAATATTGCAAACCTGGCTGTTAGAATCACAGACTGAGAAAAAGCTATTAAATCAGCTAAGCCATCTTACTGATGTCAGGAATGTTCTCTATCTATTATTTTCTTGCTGCCTTCTCAAGCATGTGCTCAAAGGTTCACAAGAGCCCTGACCCAAAGACCACTGTATATAGTGGACATTGCTCCATCACCTTCACTAAGTTTTGCATCAGGCCATAAACTATATGGATTACACCATCTCTCCTGAGGAATTACTAGACAGGTGCTTCAACTCAGACATATATTTAAGTCCTTTGCTGAATTAAGTCTTCACATAAATCATTGTGATTTTCTGACTTTTTCAGCCTGCAATTTCTGTTATTTTCATCTCACTGCCTTCTTGTATAGCTGGCATGTTTATTTTTACATGAATTCTCCAGCTTTTTTATGCATCTTATTTTCTCTTTTTTCTTCAATTTCAAGCCAATGCTTTGTTTTAATCTCACTTCTTCACTCCCAGATTCTGTTTCATTCTACGTTCATCCTTCAGCTCACTCTCTTGTCCGTTGTCCCTTGCCATATCTTACTCCATCAACCCCACTTCTCCCTCCATTCACCTACCCTTTGTCTCAAGCCCATAAACACCAATATTGAGACTTCTTGAGAATTATTCCAGAAACAGAAAATACGAATTTACACTTGAAAACAACACGACTCAAGCAGATGTCACTGAAACAATATTTAGAAACCAAGATGAAATTATGATGATGATAATAACAAAGAAGTTATGAATTAAAAGAGAAAACTTTACCTCTGCCAGGTTACAAAAAATCTGGAGGTCAAGAAGCACAACATAACTACAGCACATCCCACCGAGAGAGCTGAGGAGGGGCAGTTGACAGGTTTTGCACCAACAACAGAGATGTCATGAAGAAGGAAGAGAATGCTGGTACTAGGTCAGTGGCAAAGAGGCAGCTACAGAAAACATGTTTTGTTCAGAGAGCCTGACAAGCTGGGATTTGGGAAGGCAATAAATAAATGAAATGTAGTAGTAAAAAAGGCATCTCCGTGCAGCTATAAAACATCAAAGCCGTATTTTTTTCAGGGAAAGCCAGTGAGACAACAGCAGTAAAATACCTTAAAGAAGAGTGTGAGAGTTTGTGATAGACAGTGTAGGCACACACCTGCTTCTTGTGCAAATCATAGATTGATAGAGTGGTTTGGTTGGAAGAGACCTTAAAGATCTTCTAGTCCAAAACCCCTGCCACGGGCTGGGACACCTTCCACTAAAAATCTTGGATACCGGTTAGCAGAAACCCCTTCTAGAGCTTCATCGAGAGTTCAGGTTGTCCCCCATACTGATGATACACTGTTCTTCATAAGCTGTCAGATCATCCTTTACACAGAGAAGTAGGCTCTTTATTAAAACAAAAAACAACAACAACAACAAAAAAAGCACCACTGAGCAGCAGTGATCTCAATTGTCATTCCTAACATTCTTGTAACCATTAGTATTTGGCTTCATTATCACAAATTAATATTTTTCAGTTTTAACCGCCACCCACACAAATTGTTATAGACAGCCCAGTGCTAAGTGAACATACTGAACCCAGTAAAACAATTACTTATTATAAGAACTAGGCTGAAAAACAATTTATTTATTTATTTGCATTGAAAATATCCATTTCACATACTCCAGACAGAAGCCAATCAATTGAATTAGGCTGCTAACTTCAGCTCTGCCATCAGGAAATGAATACTGAAATAATCCTAAAAAGGCATTATTCTGTGGGAAAGGATGAGCTAAGCAAATCACTCTGCAGCCAAAAGCTTTTCCAGAGTGATACACTTTCCTCTTTCTTCTCTTCATTTTCTGAAACTGAATGCAAGTCCTAGCAAACCAGAACCACCAAATCTTCCCTTAGCAGACCGGTCTGGATTCATGTAACAAATCCAGAAATCTGAATGCTCTCAACATACTTGCAGACTTTGAAATGAAGGCAGCATAATCAAATGTTCACAGAGACACTTGTAGATTTTAAGGTTAATCATGCACACTGCTACTGATGGGATCACTAGGCTTTCTAAATGAATATGATTTGTTGTACCAATTGCATTTAAAAAGCAAACAAATAAAACTGCAATGTATTGAAGCAAAATATGCACCCATAAGGCTTCTTTCCACAAAGCAAATGTGTTACACACCTGCAATTAGTGACAATGGGAATTAAACAATATTTTAAAAAACATCAGACTCCTTGATGATATCTAAATTACCATCTTACCATCTGTGGTGTCATTTTAAGGTATCTACCCCTTTTACAAACTTCACAGAGTTCTACCTTACAAACACAGGGACCTAGAAAGTGTGCTTGGAAAGCTAACCCCACTTAAGCTGCAGAAGCAGTATGGCATTTGAGAATGTTAGTTTTTCTAAATGTCAGTTTAGCTCTGGTGAAATGTGCCAGGGTGACAGCCTTCAAGCCTCAAGTCCTCGATCCACAGCACACACACAGGCCTGGCACATGTCCCTGGGCTGCCTTTGTGCCTCAGACCTAATTGGGAAAGACCACTACTGAAGGGCAGCTCTCACTTCATAGCCACACATACTGAGAAATCTCTGCTTTTAAGGAGCAAATAAATGTTTAAGTTAGGGTGACTTTTGTAATGCAGATTTACTGCCACATAAAAGGTGGAACACACTCACCAGTTCATTCTGTGAGTATCCTGAGATGACAAAATACACTGCACCACCTGCTTCTCAGGGCACAACATGTAGGTATATTGATGTGCATGCTTATCAAATATCAGAATAAAAGCTTTAAAATGCCTCTCTACAATTACTCTTACCATGGATTTCACAATCTTCACCTGGTAACTAGAGCACACACGCCGCTGTACTCTGGCCCTCATTTTCAAAAACCTTTGCTTATGGTGTATCTTTAATTGAAAGAGAATTTAAGCATCATGCCTTCCAGTTTCAGCTTTCTTCAGAGGACTCTGGTAAAGAAGTTAAATTATCTTCATGACTTATTAAGGCCTTTGGATCATCTTTTTAAAACACATCTGAGACGGTTTTCTGCTAGTGAATCTAAATTTGCAAACACTCAGTAACAATCAGTAACACTCAGTCCTGTGACTGTATCTTTTCACCAGAAGTCAGAACTTTTTCCATCCAAATAACCAAAAACAGCAGGCATAGTTCTCAATTACCTGTATGTCTCAAAATCCTATAGACTTCAATGAAAAGAAACACAAGACCTATCCTCTGCTTCGAATCACCTGCTTCACCTGTCAAAGCGAAGTGCCTCTTCATGTATATCACATATCACATATAACATATTTGTTAACTGCAGATCTGCAGGGCACAGAGCTATGTTTTGTATGTGAAAAGATCCAGTGACTTAAACAAGACCTTCTATTTCTCTTTAATTATAATTACTTTAACCTGAACTAGAAAAAAAATATAAAAAAATCCCCAAAGTTATTTCTCACCATGCTAAAATAAATATTATTCTTCTTTGCTCATTATAATGACCTGTCAAATACAGTATGACAACATTCTTCACTGAAATTTACTTTTTTTCTTCAAATTAGCTTTTTTCCATTGCTCTGAAACACAAGTAAAATACACGTTTCTCTCACTATGATATAAGTAAAGAACACTAATGTACTTGTTAGTTTTAACTGCCATAAAAGGATTTTATAGACACAGCAAGTAAGAAACATGATAAATAATTTGTCTTTTGGAACTGTGCCCTTATATTCACTTCTGTGGAGTTTCTTCAAACAATAAATATAAGAATATAATATAATAATAAATATAAATATATTGTACCTACTATTAGCCAAAGTCTGACCTGGCACCCAGAAAAAGAGATGGATCAATGAGTTCAGAAAACACCAAAATTACACATTTGCTTATGAAATCTAATTCTATATTTAGTTAAAGCAGTTACCACTTTTAAACTTTCTTAGCTAGTCTTAGTTTGAATGATGATTGTATGATTTTAAATTACCTGTTCAAATTTTCCTACCTGAGCTCACAAAACTAGAGTAACTGTGCATTCTATTTATGAAGATTTAATTTTATTTTGAATTACATTTAATTTTATTTTGAATTATCAGGAGTGTGATTTTCTAAATTCTCATCCATACAAATAACTGTTAATTTATTCAATTTAAAAAATAAACACAACCTAATAATATTGCTTTGTCTTCTTAAACATGCACTTTACAATGTACCAAATACATTTTAGATTTAAGCACTGAAATACTCCAGGATTTACAAATAGACTGAACATTTGCCAAGGCTAAATGCATTAATGTAGTCCTACATAACGATCTTGCCTGAATGTATAAAACATCACATTTGGATAAAATATTTAAATGAATACATTTTTCTTAAGGAAAATCAAGTCTCTTCCCTGAAAAACATAGCATTTTGGTTTCATGCTGCCTGTATTTATGCCAAAATATTTGCCGAGGTAGCTAATCTATTTAAGTAATTACCTCTAAGGAAGTAAATTTTAAATAAATACCTAAAAGCCACAAAGCTCATTCCTCACTCTAAAAAAAAATTGCCTTCATCTCTGGCAATATTTCAAAATCTGCTGTTACTGAAAATCCTGGGCTCATACAAGAAAAATGACAAGTCTTAAAATTATAATAGTAATTCTAATGAAAAAATTGCTAAAAATACTGGTTATCTGGAAAAATTACCAAAAACGGACATTCCAATAGGAGTAAATTAGGGGTGCAGTGATTTGATTCTATGTTTTAGTCTGCAATTTGGGCATGTCTTCTGATAAGGCTCTTGACACTCTTAAAATATTTACATAGAAAAAGCAATATGTACGTATTGAAACACACATTTAAGAAAACAGAGTAGGTTTAAATTTGTAACTGAAGAACTTTGTTCTCTTTCTTCGCCTTTTTGTGAGAATTTGCATAACTCTCATTTCCTGGCCTTCATCTGTACAAGCACCACTGGCTGAAATCCACTTGCCTGAGCCACAGAAATGTATCCAAACCAATTTCACTGCAAATTGTGTATAAATGCACAGAATTTAGCTGACTGGATCATTCACACATATGTGAGGGCAGAATACATCCCATACAATTTAGCCTGTTCACTCTGATACCAAAATTTTAACAGAATATGACAAAGCCTAATCCTGAGTGGAGGATTATCCCAGCCATCAGTTTGGTTTGTTTCCAGGTAAGAACTCAAAAGTCAGTGTCTGCCACCAGCAGCAGTAGCTAATGGTCAGCAGTGTACAGCATGGTGCTGGGGTAGCTGAGGGCAGATGCAAGCGAGCAGCACCCCTGGAGCAGACAGCAGGAAAGGCAGCAGCTCCCCTGTGCTAAGGTCATCAGCGGCTGGTGCTGCTGCTTTACATGTGGGCAGTTTGATACCACAGGACAGCTCACAGGGTCTTCCCTTTTTGTGAAGCAGCATCTCTCAGCTTTGGACGAATTCCTATTGCCAATATTCTCCTCCTGTTTCAGGAAGAAATCTAACACTAACCAGTCTTGAAGGGTTGTTGATCTCTATGTCAATACACAAGAATGGGAAAATAAAAGTAGTCACTCTAATACCTGTAGCTGAATGAAATGCCAAAGTACAGGCATGCCAACATACATAAGGCAGAATGTAGAACACAGCTTACATGTATATACACCTACAGTGATGCTACTTCTGAGATAATTACATAATTAAAAGGAATCAATCAAAATTTTAACAGTTTTATGCATCTTTCTCTTAGACACAAAACTTTGAGAATATTGTCCTATAATTTTTGTTTCTACTTTTCAAGCTGCATTTATTCACTGAAATCCTTCGTGTCATCTCATTAACATTCAGGGAAGGAGTCAGTGAGTTTGCCCTGGTTATTTTTACAGGTATCCTCCCCAGGACTGATAAAGGAAAAATACAAAACAAAATACTTAAATGTGTTTGTTTGATGTTAAATATGGTTGTTTGGACCACTCACTCCTTGTGCCCATAACATCATGCCCAGAGAGTCCACCAGAAACTGAAACAAACATAATGAAAGCCTTTCTTTCAAAGAATGAGGACAGAGATTACAGAGGTAGTCCCAGGTAAACATTCCTGATGGGGGAGTGTTTCAGGTCAGACACCTCTGCGTATTCACCAGATCTAAAATGTCCAGCTGCTGGTTTGCTGAACAGAAGAACCCAGTCTTACAGTGCCTTTCTCGCACAGGGATGCTTCAAATCACTGCTCTCCCTGAAACTGAAGGGGCTACTCCTGAGAGTAGATTCGTGAGAATGGTTGTACTAAGGCACACTCCAGCTTGGCTAGCTCTGGGGGAAGCTCTCGCCTTGCAAAACACTGATCAGCCTGCTCCAAATGCTTATTGGATCATTGCTCACTGGGCTGTCTGTCAATGAACTGTGACTCCAAGCTGTACGCACAGTACATCATCTGATTTGCTGGCTGTTTAAAAAACTGATTTGACAGTTTTATTTGGGCCAACTACAAATCTTCATTTGACCTGAAAGCTGCTAAAACAAAGCCAAATATTTCAGTGTTGAAAAGTACAGGGAGACCAAAATGAAAAAACATTTAGGAGGAAAGTATCAAAGTAGTGAAATGAAATCACCATACTTTTTTGGAGATCCTTTTCCTTTATGTTCCTTACTTGATCAACCTGGTGAAACCAGAAATTATTTTATTTTTGGTGCTGTCAGATCTGAATTTCCACTGAATGTATTGAATGTAGTCATGTAGAATGTACTGACTTCAGTACATGTGCTGAGAGACAAAACTGAGATACATCTCAGAATTGTGAAGGTAAACTTTAAGTAATAAATTTTTGGTTTACCACAAAACCAAAAAGAAGGCTGTCACATAAAGACATAGTCCCAGTATTATGATTTATTATTATATGAGTGTCCACAGACCAACCAAAATCCAAAAACAAACTACATGTATGCTAGGCATTGCACAAACAGCAGCTTCTGCCCCAAAGAGCTTACAGTGTACAGAAACTCAACAAAGGAGTAGGGGCAAACAATAATATAGTAACATAGAAAAACGATCAATGCAATGACAGAACATTATGTTCTTTCCATCTTCTTTTGCAGAGAAGGAATGAATAAACAAGGTTAGTGTCACAGAAGACAACAGCAGAGAGAAGATGGGTTATTACAGCACAGGTGAGAAGAGGAAAAAGCAAAGAAAATGGCATGCAGGATGTTTGCGCTACAGAACACATTAAGAAAAGTGAAGCGACTGCAAGAGCTGGCAAAGAGAGCTTGAGCAAAACAGCCAATTAGAATAAGGCAGAGAAAAAACAGTCCAAAATATCAGCAACCATCAGTCTCCTTCATATGTTGCTTCTACAGCTGCTCTGTTGGCTTCAGTCTTTGGTTGAATGGCAAGACCCTCACCTGCTGTAAGAGAAGCTGGACTAGCTGTATGGCAGAGACACTGAACTTAAAAGGTCAGGAGGGCACGCTGCATAAGACATAGCATTGAAAAGAGTCATATCTGCTAGACGGACTAATCTGCTGATTAACATACATGTATAAATGAAAAAGATCTAATAAGTAAAAGAACATACTTGCAATTGAAATGTATTCAGAGGTATTACACCTCTGAAAATAGATAGCCTGAGTAAAAAACATACGTAAAAAAATCCTTGTTACACCAATATTAGTACGGCTCTGCATGGTCATAGATAGCATATTTAAATGACATTAAAAAGCCAATTTTACTTCAATGGTAAATATTCACGTTTTAAATAGTGATTAAATGGCTAACACTAAGCATTTTGTATTTAGGTTTGTGTAACGAATCCCAATTCAGTTACAACTGCAAGTTACTACATAGATAGCATGATGGTTATTTGTTAATCCTAATATAATTTCCACTATCAAATCACAGCGAAACTTTCGTCCTTGTTGACAGTTCCAACAAGGAGGTCAAGCAGTGAGCAGTCACAAAGAATGAATTGCTTTACTCTCTAGAAGTGGTCAGTGCTGAAGTAGGTGAATAGTCATCATTACAGCTCTGCTCCTTTTTGCAACGCATCTTACACTGGACTGTCATTCTGCAACCTTATTCAAGCATTACATTCACATGTATTTTATTTATAATAACATTAGCCTCAAAGGATGACCTTCTAAGAAGAAGTCACAGGTTAACAGCCCAGTTACCTTAAAGGACCCTCTTACATTACTAACCTTGATGGTATTTCAAATCAAACATGGAATATTCACAATTGAAACAGAAACTTGTATTTAAGTTAGAAATAAGAGACCAATTTGCCTTCAGACACTCTCACACAAACCCAATTTACCTGCAGACAGTGTTAGAACCTGGTGTATGTGCAAACTACAGTTACCAGCACTATACTTAGTCTTCTTAGGAGACTTGACAGTGCACACTGTAAAAGTCTAATGTATGTTAATGTAACATGTGAAAAGGCTCTTCCCTGAGATTACTTTACACATCCTCACTGAATGTGACTGCTTGCTGTTCTTCAAAACGAAGTCCAACAAGAATCAAATGAACTGCATGATTTATTTTTACTATGTTCATTTATCATTTGAGATGAAACCTGTTGTCATGCACAAAAATACTGAAATCCTCAAATATAAACTCGGTTTTTTTTATTCACTATTTGATACTGTTTCCATGTGTCAGGAAGAAGAAACCATCTGGATAATCAACTAAGCAGATACCTGGTTCTAGGGGATTTGAGTCTGCTTCCTCCCGATTCAGTGGCAAAACTCTTGCTGACTTAAAAAACAGTAAGCTTTTCATACACATCTACATGTTCTACTAAAATACAGAAGTGCCCAGTCACGTTTAACTCTTCAGGTGAAAGGGACGGCACCTGAAGCAGCAGATCTGATCTTATTCCTTTCCTTAAAGGACATATCCTGGGCATTTTTTCCTAAATCCTTATAACAAATACAATCAAATAAATATACAACTCCATGCTCTATGAACCGTTAATTCAAGAGGCAGAAACATTGATGTCAGAATAGGCTATATATGCCAAAGTAGAACCCTGGTCCGCTTTACATTCCTGCTGACAGTTTCTGTAATGAGCACACAGCATTAAATAAAAACCATGACCTGTTTAAATAAAGATCAGAGCACCAGCTATATCTTTGTATTCTTGCATGTTTGTTGTTTGGCATCACAAACTAACACCAAAACAGGTTTTCACACAGGGCATGAGGGATTTGCTCTAGTCTACCAGGAAGAGTTGTTTATCTTTAAAATGGGCATTTTTCTTCATGTAAATATGTACAGGTATTTGCAGAAGTTACTGTGCTTTAAATTAGACTGAAGGAGAACAGAGAGAGGAGAGAAAGAGGGAATAATGTACAAGCAAGAAATCGGAAATTCTTCTGTCACTGCCTGAGACAATGAAGAAAACCAGAAGAGCAAAGCTAAAACTGTTTAAATATACCATTAAAATTTCACAGTGAGCAATTAATTTCGATCAATTCATGTACGTATCATACATGGAATGGCCATTACCTATACGTAAAATAAAAATTACAACCACCACCACCCCCCATTTGTATAGTACACTGCCAGAGAATGTACGGTGCCTGGCATCATGGAACAGTTTAATATGCACGAGTCCAACACAATTACCATTATATAATGACTACTTAACTTGTCTTCTCAAAAGATACTCTCATTTCAGTAGTCAAACCTTGGCCATACACATTTAAAATGTAGTCTTGTATTTTAAATATCTGTCTACTGATACTCTCCTGAGTAACTGAGAGTTCACTTGATCAGAAGCCAATCACAAAGTTTAATAATCTTGCCTAGCTATCAATTTATCCAGAATATACAAACTTCTTAAATCTAAGTTACTTACTAAATTTATTAAGCATTAACTCAAGTTGCAGTGGTTATCAATACCAGACATTATGAGCAAATCTCTTAATTACGATATTGTCAAGGTATAGATTGTATAAGCAGAAATCTTTCACTATTGATCATTTGCCAAAGAGAACGGAATGTTCAAAAACCATCCCGTTTCTGCACGTTCCCCAGATTTATCTCCTACGTTGTCCACATCCCAGCATATGTATTAATAAATGTATTCCATGTTACCTTTCCAAAAGAGTCAAACACAAACCACAGGTATAAAGCAAGCAATATATTAAAAGCATTGAAATCCCTACCTAACCCTCCCTGGTTTTGCCTTTTCTTTTTCCTGCTTCGAACCAGGTAGTGGCACGACCCACTCATTCCACGCAGATCAGCACGGATCCTGAAAAACTTATGGCACAGGTCTCCTTCCAAGGCGAAAACTTTGGAGGTCACCGAGCCCTCGCCCACCACAACGGGGTGCTGTGCCACCTCGGGGGGCCCTCCGCGACAACTCCGCCGACAAACTAACTTCTGCCCGAGGGCGGCCGGGCTCCGTGGGGCGCCCCGGGGAGAGGAAGGGAGCGGGCAAGACGGCGGCCACCCCCCATCCCCGTGAGCAGGGTGCCAGCCCTTACCTCGGCGCACCCCCTTTCTCCGCTCCGGCACGGCAGCATAGAGGCAGGGCAAGAGGAGCTGCCGGCGTTTCTCCCTGCGCCTCCCTGCTCCTCGGAGAAGCCCTTCCCCCCCGTCGCTCTCCCCCTCTCCCGCCCAGCTTTGGGGCACACACACAGGTCTATTTTTTAAGGAGCACGGAGGAGCAGCCGCGGGGAAGCTGGGTTGGAAGAAGCAAAACCCTGACGCGATTGAGGGTGGGTAGGGAAAAAGGGGGGGGAAGGGTGCAGACCCTGGCACACGCAGCCCCAGCCCCACCGCCTGTCGCCCCCGGTGCTCCCGCAGCGGGGAGCGGGCCCCGGGCGCGATCCCCCCGCCCCGAGCCGGCGCTCAGACGCCACCCGGGGCGGCCGCTCGGATCCCTCCCCCGCCACACAGGGGCAGGGGGCGCCGGGTTGGGGAGCGGGGCGGGGGCTCCCCCAAAATACTCACCCTGCCCGCCGGGGCTGCTTGGAAGCCGCCGGATTTTGTGCGAGAGCTTTCGTCTCCTTCTCCGGGAGCCCAGCCTCCCCTCCCCCCCCGCCTCCCCTCCCCCGCCTCTCCCACCTCCCCCACCTCCTTTGGGGGGCCAGGAATCCCCCAGTGTCGGCTCTCCCCTCCTCCCCGCACGGCCGGGGCTCCATGGTCCCCCGTCCGAGGCTGGGGCCGTGGCCGGGGCTGGGACTAGCCGGCGCTGCGGCGGAGGCTCGCCTCGGGTCGGGGGTAGCGGGCGGCGGCGCGGGGCCGCCCCCGGCGGGTCGCGGGGAAGGATGCGCCCCGGGGAGACCCGGGGCAGAGTTGTGGCAGCAGCCGCTCGGGGAGGCCCCTGCCCAGCCGTCCCCCGAGATCGTGGGGATGACGGCCGGGGGTATCGGGCTGCTCGCCGCCAGGCAGCCAGGCGGGAGGGCGGGCGGCCCGTTGGGGTCTGCGGCTGCCGCCCCCCGTCCGGAGCCCCCCTCACGGACTTTCCCTCTCGGGCCCCGGGGCCTTTGAGGCCGGGGGAGCTGCTGTGGGCCCTGCAGAGAAGAACGGGGTGCCGGGGGTGTGGGTCTGCATGTCTACTTGTGGGGTGCTGGAAGTTGGGATGCCATGGGGGCAGGCCGCGGCCCCGCCAGCGGCTAGCGTGCTCCTCAGAGGCACTGAGCATGCACGGCTCCTGCCAGCTCCCAAATCAGGCCATGATAGAATCGTAAATACATAATACTCCTCCGATGTGATGAGTAGGGAGCAGAAGAGTTAAATGTGTACATCGAGGAGAGGCAACTGACATGTAAAGGGCTTTGCTGTGCAGTTGTTGAGCGATTCTGAAATGAAATATTTGAAAACCCTTCCAAGAATAAATTTAATTCCCGCACGCTTGTTTCTGGATCGCCTACTATGGAAGGAAGTGTGCTGGGTAGCTAGCAACAATTAGTAGAGTTACATCTGCTTTTAGCGCACCTGGTGACTTTATCACTGATAAAACAGTCATTGAAAAAAAATTTGTGTGGGAAAACATCCATTCTATCAAGATTTTGGATTTGGACATTTGTTCTATGTAAGCATGAAAGAGGTGGCATTAGGAAAAAAATCTGGAGGAAATAAAGCAATGCACCTTAGACTAGCCCAGTAGTCAGCGTGTCCCTAAAGTGGAGGCCAAACTTGAACACAGGCCTCCACGTAGGAGGTGAATACTTCAGCTACCCACAGAGTAGGTACTGTCTACTCACTGCAGGCCTGTAACTAGTAGATAGTAGGTACTGTCTACTATCTACTCTCTGCACAGATGGAGACGAGGCCAAGCTGTGTATCAGAAACCAAGAATTGGACCTGAAAACCCTCCCTCACAGTTTCCGTTACTGGCAAAACATGTATTTATCTTGAAAGTTTGCATTTTGACATGTCAGTATTTTTACAATATAAATGAGCTTGAAATTTTTTTGATCAGCCTAATGTTCAGGACCTATTAGAAGCTGGAGAACATATTCACAATCAATTCACTTACTCACATGCATGAATACAAGCTTAGAAAAGTAATTACAGGCACCCGTTTTTGGAAATCTTGAGGCTGTGTAGTTTCCCCACAGGAAATATGAGTATTAAATTCCTTAAAAAAAAAAAATACTGGTATTTATTTTTGTCTTTAATATTAAAATTGTTGATGAAATATTCCAGATATGGTAAGGTTGGCTTGACGTAAATCCTTCCTTTTAATTATTGTTTAATACTTGAGGCAGAAAAAAGAATATCTTGGTAACTTAAGTGTGGGGTTTTTCATTGTTACCGTTTGTTTTTACTTTTTAAATTTTTAGTTGTCTTGCCTAAGAGAAACTTTTTACTTTTTTTGTTAAACTGTTAAACATGTAAACATAAATTTGCAGCCGTATTACCAAATATGGCTATTCTGATTGCTCTTCAGCTAAAGGATGATGTATCCGTACACATTGTATTATTCTATTTTAGCTTTTAAATCTTTATTCAGAACATTAATTTCTTAAGCTCTATTGTTACAAAAAGTGAATTATACTTTACATTTTTAGTTGTTTACTTATGATTTGTCAAGTTCTGTTCATATGAAAACTGACATTCAGTTAAAATTTACATGACATCATTTTAAATTGTTCATTAATTAAGACTACCCTAAATGTTCTTGATGCATTTTAAAAGCATGTTTGTCTTTTAAAATACTTTATGAAACAACTGAAATAATGACATGTAGAAAATGAATTAAATTTGAAGCATGTAGTAGCCATCACCTTCATGGTCTTAGAGAAGACAGATCTTGTCCTTTCTTGCTTAGGTTTAGTTGTAGATTGACAGAGGAAAATAGGCAATTTTTTTCTAGTCTTACGTTGATGTTTCAGCTTTGAGTTAAATAGTTCTTAACTGAACTTCTTGCATGGCTTGAAACAAAGACACTTACTCTGCCTATAGAAGACACTGCAGCTCTCAGAAATTGCTCTCCTGCATCATTTAAATCCTGTTCCATACGCTTAGCCAGTGGCTTCAGTCAATTCACTGGCATCACCATCAAAACTTCAGCAGCAAACGCCTCTTTTGATTGACTATCTGAACTCACTTCAGTACATGACAGCAAGATCTAAATTACCTCCAGTATCACATGTAATTGGAAGAGATGCAGATGTATATATAGGGGGGAGAAGGTTGATTTTTTTAAAAATATTAAATTCTGGGGGGAAATATGATGGAATAATGGTGTCCATTTAGGACAGTACTTCTAATGGTATCTTGATCAAATTCAAGGGATAGTAATGCAAAGAACCCCTTTAAGGTTCTCTTTTCAACTTTAGGGTTTTATTCAACTATTTATAGTTGCCTTTGATTGTACAAACAGAATGTTACTTTAAGGTGGGCAAATGAAGTTCAGGAGAACACTGGGGAAGGCAGAAATGGATAGTAAAGATAGCCCTGTATAACAGCACATCTCTTTATTTCTGCTAAATATTTGTATTTCATTTGGGACTTTGGTCATTGTTAATTCTTTATAAGTAGTTTAATTTAAATCCATACTTCAAAACCACCCATTTTTCAGTGGGTGAACGGATCATACCTACTTCAGGATTTTTTTTATGTTTCTCAAATAGTTTGATTTTTACAGATATGGGGCCAGCAGACTTCTGTCAGCACAGCATCACTGCAGAGGAGGAACGGTAGACCACTGCTGAGTGGCATTCTCTAGCTCTGAAATCTTCAATCATCTCTTGTGTTATCTGGTATCCTCTGTGCTTGACATGTCAGACTTCCTGCACGTGCGCTGCAAAGCTAGTCTACACATACGCGCTATGCCGATACCTCCTAGACTAGTCTGATTTAGGATCCCACAATGTTCCTCTGACGGATCAGGTTTAATGCATATGTGCAAGTACAGCTGATCTACACATTCAGTGTGGTCCTAGCCTGGACTCTTGACTATTCTGCATGCAAGTAAGTGTACATGCACCCTGGTGCTTTGCTCTATGGCCATAAAACCTGGACAAATAAAGAAGACCATCAAGTTGTGCCTGCACATGATTACCACGTAGAGGAAATGACATATGTAAGAAGCCTTATCTATAAATTAGCCTTATTACTTCATTCTCCACCAATGGAGAGATCTGTTACTTGGGCAGTAGAACTTCGTTGTTAATGTACACACACAAAAAAGTTTGTTTTTTTGTCCCCCCGTTTCTCTTTCCCAGAGAAATTTAAAACTGGGTCTGATGCATGACTAATATTCTATTGTCATTTCTTTAGTGGAGGTCATTAATATGCATTATGTTTTTCATCTAATATTATATACATTATTTCATAATATTAAATGTATTAGTCAAATCATTCTTATTCATATGTAGTTTTCCAGTAAACCTCAGTGATCTTTCAATTGTGGCGAGGTATTCCCTCCCACGCCTCCTAAAATACAGAACTGCAGTATTCTGCCTATGGGGAAAAAGCCTGAAGCCACATGGTGGTGTATCTGTTCAACACTGTGAAAGAGAATTTCCCTATTCACAGTCTTGCACAGTCAACATGACCTGCTGGTAAATTTTAAGTTGCCTGACACCATGATTAAAACCCTCTTTTTTTTTTTTGCATTATGTTGTTTGATGAAATGGAGGAGACAAAAGACTCGAATGTTTGCATACCAATCAAACAATTGCACGTTGATCAATTCTACAGGCTTTTCATATTCTTAAAAATGTAGTAATACTATAGATACTGTAGGACCTTTTAATTTCTCCATTACAAGTGAAATGAAAGGCTGAAGTCCAGAATCCCAAATGCAGAGTACTTTTCAAATGAAGGGGACTGGGCAGAAGGCTGTGAGAAGGTGAAGTGAGAGAGATGCATAAAAGAAACTTCATTTCAAAAAGATAGCCTTTTTAACCAAAGAGATTTAGCTGCACTCAGCCAGAAATATTTTCTGGATTGTCATTCCCACTTTGCAATGAACAAGTATCAGTATGATTTCTTGATGTGTTTAATTATGTGAAGTATGAAATCAAGTAGGTACATCCAACAGCTACAGAAAAATGACAAGACATAATTTCAGACAAGCCAGCATTGTTTTATCCCAAAGATGCCAAAAATGGCTTCAGAATTATATTCAGCTTTTAATTAAGACAAATGAGAGATGTCACAAATCATCCATTGTATGGGTCACATCAAAAGCACGTAAGTACTGTAGAATTTCTTCTTTCTTGATGTAGTTCCCAGTTGCATTTTCCTGGAGCCTTCCTTTAAGTTTAATACTGTGCTGGATGCTGGAGTGCTACAAATAACCTTAAAGCCTGGACAGAAGTTGCCTGTATTATTAATAGTAAAATGAAATAAGTCTGCATTCTCCTATATTAAAAAGAGAAAATTAAGCAAAGTGAATAAAAACAAAAACAAAAAGCGTAATATTTTGAAAGATTAGGAGTTATATATTTGGAACAGCTCTAAAGATTACTTTCTTTTCCATGCTATAAATCAAAAAATGTAACTGAGATGCCATCTCTAGTGATGAAAGGTATTTTGTTGTTTTTTTTGCAAGTGATATGTACTCTTCAGCTCAGGGGAAAAAGTCCATTTCCAAATTACTTTTAACAACAATCCAGTGGTCATATTTGTGCTTCTATTTTAGGAACATAGATCCCTTTTATAGACACTAAACATGGTTTACTAGTGGATTTTTTCATTTATTATAACTGTTTCATGTAGTGTCTTTCATGTAAACATTATAAAAGGAATTTACTGTTGGATGTAGAAGTTGGGGTTTGGGTTTTTTTGCCCTTTGTTCTTGTTTTGTATGTTATTTCTTTGGAGAACTCTTTTTTCTCCCCTTTCAGGAAATTTCACATAATCTTTTCCATTCGTCATCAGCCAGGTTGCTGATTACCAGAGTAACTGCCAAGCTTTCAACTCCTTGTCATCAATGGGCTGTGAATGACAGACAGCATTAATGTTGGCAAGCTCCCACTCTCCTTTTCGCCTTTCCCAAATGTAATTAAACTGCACTAATACAGCAAAAGAAGAGCTGCAGCTTTATTTTACTCACCCTAATAATTAAATCACAGAAGCACACAATGGAGTCAAATAAACCCATCATGGCACAGAAATTCAGAGGTAAGGGAAGTATGCATTTACCCCTTAGAGAAAAAAAAACATGAGAAAAGAGTCCTCCTTTCTGTTCCTAACAGTACAATGACTGCACTGTTTGACCTTCAACAAGACAGTATGTCCAACATCTGAGTAGCTAGCCACTCTCTGTTGCAGCCTGGTGAAAGGCATCAAGTGTTTCCTCTTCTGTTGCACCTTCAATTTAAGCATAAATGGAATAATTAGCCTCTCCTTGAAATGATCTGCTATTTCTCTGGTAGGGGACAGCTGGATAAAGGACAGAAAAGATGTAATATACAGTTTGAATGACACACAACTTACCCACCAGAACAAGAAGGCATTATCCTGATCACGGAGGAAGTCCTGAGCTTTTGGTTTAAAGACTGGGGGTGTCAGAGGATAACCAGGAGTGAGGAAGAAGGAGAAAAGAGAGTCCTCACTTCACCTGCAGAGGATGACAGAGGCTTGTAGAATGCACACTTATCACTGAACATTTCTGGGATAGATAACTTACCACCAAATTAATTTTTGTATGTTTCTCAGGACTGAGGTGAGTGAAATGAAGTTACAGGCCTGCAGGAATGCAATGGAATTTGCCCATAAAGCTGTCCCCCATTGCTCTAGGATGGCAAGCAGGCGCTCATAAGGAGGCTGAGAACTGACTGCCATGAGCACTGTAAACACAGCTTTGTGGCCAGTATACACGCTGGAAAAGGGATGGTAGTCTCATTTTTCGAGCTATCAAAAATAGTACAGTTGGCTTGTAAGACCAAGTTTACAGTAATGCAAATAAATAGTTTGAAAAAATGCAGACAAAAAAAAAAAAAAAAAAAAAGGAAAGATTATTGTTACACAGCTAGCCAGAAAACAGGGACACCATCCTTAGGGAAAGCATGGAAGAGCCAGAACCCACTGCCAGCATATACTTGAGAAATAAGAATGGGAGCTTGGTTACTGACCAAAGTAGACATAGCTTCAAAAATGACAATTAATAGGCCAGCTTGGCTGTGCAGACTCTAAATGAGTGTTTCCTTGTGCAGTTTTGGTGACTAAATTTTAGTCAACTGGTAGTTGACAGGTGGTACCCTGTAAATCCAGCCTGTGCCAAATTCATTCAAGATCTGTTAGTGTGGAGCAAGTAATTTACCAGTGTGAACAAACTGTTCTGTAACAATAAACGTAGTTTAATATTATGGTAGTCTTCCAGAGGAAGAAACCTTTGGTTGAAACTTTTAGATAAAGTTTGCAGGAGGATCTGATATGTTAGGTTTTCAGTAGTTCTGAAGCAGGAGAAAATTTTTATGTTTGATAATGTAGCTAATGTGTAGTGAACAGTAAAAAGGAAAAAAAAAGTGACACAATATGTAAAAATGTAAAACCACTGGTGTAAATGAATCGTGTACAGGAGGAACACTAAAGGGATGAAGTTGAAGGTTTGTTTCTGTTAGATTTATTTTGATATAGTGATTCATGGAAGAACTCTACAACTCAAACCAAATCAGTTATAAAGCAGGTATGTGGTTTGTTTTGGCACCAGGAACATGCAGGATAGCTCCCAAAGGCATGAGCGCCCTAACACGGCAACTTGCTATGGTTATATGCAGTAAAGTGTTACATATGCATGAAGTTTCCCAATATGCCGATACATATGCATAACCTATCCCCGATTTGTATTGAAGTTAGCTCCAAGAAGTCATTTCCATAAACTCCTTCTGTCTGCACTTGCGCAGGTGGTGGTCGTCGGGGGGGGGGGAGGTTGTGGGAAGAAGGTTGATAACTCTTCTTCATCACCACTAGTTGACCCCCTGCCTTTGTACAGACCTAGCTGCTCCTTGGCTCTTGTCCAAACCACAAGGTTGGTCTCAGCTGGTTTTTGAGACAGGTTCCTCATTTGTGTCAGGAAGCATCCTCTGTGAGGGGCCACGAGACTCATTGTTTCAGTTAATTTGCATAGTAGTAAGCAAAGACACTTAGCAATATCTATTTTAATGTGATTAAGCAAACCCCCATTCTTCCATTCCTGGCTTTAATAAGTACAATTGTTTTATTTAGAAATCATTAATGCGATTAGGCAAGCCCCTATTTTTCTATCCCTGGCTTCAATAGTACCTGGTTTGATATTGCCCCAAAGACCTTTTGGATAAACATCATGACTTTCTCTTTGATTCAGGAAGGACGGAGGCTGCAGTATTCCGAGGCTATCAAAGGGAGAACCAGCACCTCAAACATCCACCTCATATGTTTATAACATCAAGCAAAGAAAGAAGAAGCCACAAAGGACATCGAAAAACAGAAGAGCATAAATAAGTCTTCAACTGTTCTTGTGCATCAACAATAATTCTTGTAAGAGAAAAAAATGAAGGCAGATTTGGTTCTTGTGTAGAAACTACCTTGAACACTTTAAAAGGCTTCCTCTGAGTCACTATGAATAGTGATGATTCCCCAGACCCTGTAACAGTTTTATCTGATTTTTCAGACTGAATATTAAGCAAAGATTGGCAATAGAAAATGGCCCAGAAGATGAGAAAAATGCTATTATTGAAGACAAAGTGTGTGGCACTTCAACATGATGGCCTTTAATTTTCATAGTGGGCAGTTACGCAAGAGAGACCACCAGAGAAGGCTTTGGTCCAGAACTCCTACCAGCCTGTTCTCTACACCTAGTTAATATACTGGTCTTATGCTAATATCTTCGAACAAAATTAGATACGTTTACAAATATAGGCTGGGATCAACCTAAGGCTGCTGGTTTGAAACTGTACCCAAAGCCATAGGAATTGGTTTAAAACAATGAGTTTAGCTCTGGTGCGCAGAGCTGTGAGGAGAGAAATTCCACTCTTAAGATCTTTCAACACCAGCCAGCTCCCCAGAGACTCCCAGATGTGCAGTTTTGTGGGACTTTAATCCTACTCGAGGAAGTTTATTTGTGCATTTCACAATATTACATGTCATTTGCATAAAAATGTTAGGAAAAGAATGTTATTTCAGTGGTCAGTGTGTGATTTAGTAAACAAAGATGAAAAGGTTCTTCTGACTTTTTCTGTGTTAAACTGCCTGGGCTTCAAACCCCCTTTTCAATTAGACAAAAATGCTGGTGTTTATGGACTAGGTATTGATACAGGAATGCAAATGACTTCACAGGATGACAGTTTATTATAAGTCAATGGCTGAACTCTCCTGGGAAAAATTACTAGATGCTCTGCCAGTGATTAAAACTATGGAACATTTTCACAACTGTTTGTATAGAAAGAAGCTTGTGATTGGAACAGACTGGGCAATCCCAGAATTGGCTCTTTGGATTTGAAACCAGAGGGGCAATTCCTTTTAACCACAGATTGGAAAAACTGCAGTGCTACGGTTTTGTAGTAGCCCAAAAGCATTGGTTCAGGCTTAATGTTGATTGCTATTGATATTTTGTCCAGATAGGTTTATTGTGAGATTGATTCCAAATGCCAGTCTAAACAAGCAAGGAGCAAAGAACTGATTGCTCAGGGGAATGAGCGTGTTTGGGAAGAGATGATTGTTTCCTCCCTTCCTATATCTTGCAGCAGTTCAAATCCAGTAAAACAGTGGCTACAATTATTCTCAAGAAACCAAGTCATTCCCATGGCAAGAACCTGGTATCAGAGCACTGTGCAACTGGTAACAGCTATCTTGAAATACAGTCTCTCCCTTAGTTTACCTCAGTGAGAACTCTCTGTTCACACTGTGATGGCTTGGGGTTTGAAATGCAATTTGGTAAAGAAGATGGAAAGAAAGCAGTAGGTGATAAGCTTTATTGGCTGGTTTTAGATCAACGGAAAAAGAAGGCTGTAGTGTAATGTCATCATTTGAAAATGGCTGGAGGTTTGATAATGGTTGAGGGGTTACAACATGGTACAATTTCTATTACAAAAGTTACACAATAGATGTAGAAAAAGTGTCCAGGAAACAAGTAACAAGGAAAATCTCTGGGAGGCAATATTTTGCCAAGCAGATCACATGAATAAGTACACATGAATAAGGAGTAGCAATTTTTATTTGATTGGGGTTTTTTAAACTGGTTCACAACATAACAACCATTGTTTGGGAAGGCATTATGAGGGCCCTGCATGCAGTAATAAGTCTTAATGACCCTGACTAGCTTCACCTGTGGTCTCCACCCCACACTCATGGAGCCAGGAGCTCTATTTAAGCTAAGCTTTGGGCATTCAGCTCTTGTATGAGCTATATTGGAGCAGTGGCAGGTCACAGGCATGCTGGGGAGCTGCTTGCTCTGTGCCTTAATTTATGTGCTGCCTTGATTAGGGGTCTGTTTTTTCTACGCGGGCCTGCCTAGTCATCGCTGGATGTGATTTTAGCCCTGACCTATAGGAACACTTTCTAGCTGGACTTTAGACCTGCTTCACCACCATAATAGTGCCTTTAAAATCTTTTTTTTTTTTTTTTTTTGGGGGGGGGGGAGGGGGGACCTGGCCACTGTCTCTGGATTTGCCCTGCAAAATTGTCCTTTAGGTACTGTGGGTTGGGCTCTGGTTAATCTGGTTAATGAGGTCACTGCACTGGTGGCACTGGGATCCCCACTGGCTTGTGGCTCACCTCCCTTTGGAGAACAGCCCTGCTCTGCTTCTCCCTGGCAGACATGAAGTGGAACAGACTGTAGCAGAGAAAATGATTTAGATTTGGAATTTGGGGGTGAGATATACATGGGTCAGGGAAGAAATTATGAATCATGTGTTTCTGTAGACTTGTAGAACTACAGGAAATCTATTAAGTAACTACCATTTCAGTGAACAAATTTATGATAAGATAGCAGAGAAAATCAGACTTGATGCTGGCTTTCTTATCCCTTACAGGCACAAATTAACATTTTTTTATTCCTTCTAAATTAGTAAGAAGTGCAGGCTCCTTATCCTTGGGGGTTAGAGATTTCTGCAAGTCTTCTGCCTGGTGTTCCTGTAGACTAACAGTTCTTTTGGTCACTTAGAAGCTTTGAGTTGCAAAATGGGAAACCAAAGTGTCACATGCTTCCTGGGTTATATCTGAAGGCAGCTTTGGATAACTGGGACTAAGTAATAGTAATGATTTTACTATGTGAGCCAGGAGTAGTACTTCCCCAGACTGGGGGTTGTGCTGGGACAAGGCCTGGATTACACCAGCTCTTCTACATAACCATTTTCATTCAGAGATTCAAAGGAAGCTTAGGCACATGGACTAGGATGGAATCCCCCAACTGGAGAGATGGGGACTGCCGGGTGGGCTATAGATAAGACTTTTTAAGTAGCAACAGTACTGCTGAAACAAAGATCATTTGTTAGATACCTCTCAAGTGCTGTTCAGTTTCTGATCTAAGGTAGTTCCTGAGTTTCTGGCAAAATTGTAGACTATTTTGTCCTCCCTACAGAGTAAATCACAGATGGAACTACTTGGAACTGGGAGTTTGAGTCTCTATTGATGCTTTGTGAAGTCAATGCTTGTTTTAGCTGTGGTAATCACTGAGCAGCTGAATGGTTTGGGGAACCAAACCATTTGGGGTTCAGAAAAAATCCTGAAAATATCTCTCTTTAATTTGACTTGGACTGAAATCAAATCCTAAAAGTCCATTTAAACTTCTACTGAACCACAAATCCTGCATTTGGACCAGATCTATTGGAAAACTTAAACTGAATAAACCTTGGGTAGGTCTGTATGTAAAACTGATGTGAATACAAACAATGTCATTGAAGATAATTTGGGGGTCAGTCTTTGAAATAACTTATCTGTTGTGCCCAACTGAGGGTATTTTCAGGGTTAAGATTATCTCCTTCCCTTTCTACCAACAGAAAATGGAGAGAATACCTGTCAGCCTCAAAATTGCAAAAGCTGCTTGTATCCAGTAGGATACAATGCATGGGGTGTGTCAGCTAGCAACTTCTACCCACACAACAGATGCTGTTCAGGGGCCCATTGTGAGAGATGCCTCCAAGGAGCCTGAAAAAAACTGCATAAGGAGTGGAAAGCTCCCAAAAGAGATGCAATGAGGTGTAATTGGTTTGGAGTAGCACATGGGAACATCGGAATAGAAAGACAGGATAGTCTCTTAATTATATAATTTATCTTTCTTCTATGAAGACTCTCTTATTTCCTTTTGGAGGTAGCTTGAAGGTGTCACACTATCCTAAACAGCAGTGATGAGTAAATAAGTTAGTGAGATGTGGTTATGTACCACCTTGATTATTATCCTAATTACTGTCTCTTACTTCTGTAAGTTGTAAGAAGCCGTAAAACTTCCTCGTGAAATTGCAACAGGTGATGGAACTTCAAAATTCAATGTCCAGAGCCAAAGATATAAAAAGCTGCTCAGGAATTCACAATCTGCAGCCACAGTCTTCCATGGGAATCCCTTTGAAAGGAGTGCTGTATGTGTGTGTGAAAAGTATAGAAGAGAAAGCTTAAGTGTAGAATGAACAAGCACTGGGACTCTGGTTCTTTCAAAAAGCTAAAGGAGCATTTTTCAGCTGAATACTGTTCCATATGACTGAGTTGTGAACTGAGACAGTCTCTTCCTATTTGAGTCCTTTTTTTGTTCAAGCAAATGGGATGACATCAGGAAAACAGCTGACTCCACCAAACAGTTTCTGCTCCTAACTGGAACAACCTGCAATGCCCAGAGTGGTGACTCAGCAGGTAAGAGGGGTCATAACATGTGTTAATTGCCAGGATAGTTATGATGTCTTAGAAAATAATTTTTATCCTCTGTTCATCACATGGATCCAGTCTTGTCATTTGTGAACTAAAATCTGGGCAGGATTACTGGCACAATGAGAAGTGGATCCATACCATAAATGTAAGGGACTGGGACAAACAGAGGCAAGTCCACAGTAGGAACAGTATTGTTCGGTGCCAAAAAAAAGTGTGAAAGATGATACTATTATCTTAGAAAAAAGAAATCTTATGCCAGTGATGTTAGAACCTCAGAAATAATGTGTCAAAGACGTTGGAACATTTAGAATACAATCTCTTACTGTTCCAATGTCATCAACATGTTGTTCTCACCATTTTCTATGACAAGTGAATTTACTGAGTCAATTTGTCTTCAACATGTTAAATGTACTATGTGTAGGCAGGTAAGCTAACCTTATTTATATAGTATAACAAGGGAGAATGCTAACTACACTCACTTTTGCACTTTTGAAAACTGTTTTCTAAGAGAAAATACTACACATCCATTTTCAGAGCTGCGCTTTTCTCACACCTGACCTAGTGTTTCTCAAGAGAATTGCTTCAACAAAGAGGGGGATAATTCTACCTGTGGTGTTGAAGTGAAAATTTTGGTTGGCTCATTACTCTGCTTGAACTGCTCTCGCACCAGATATTCCTTCATCTTTCCTAAAAAAAAAAGTTCTCTAAAAGTAAGACCCTGAAATGTCTGTCCCCCCTTCTGCTTCATGCATTACTTTAGTATTTCTAGGTCTACCTTTTTAATTTATTATTTTTTTTTTTTTCCCCACTAATTGCTTTTCTTGATTTGCTGGGGTAATTTCTCTTCTTTCTCTGCCTCTGTTATTTTTTTTTTTCTCTGCCTTTTTTTTTGTTTGTTTTGTTTTCCCCTGGTATAGATAGATCAAATGAACTCTCAACCTTTTGCATTTCCTTCATCCTTAATCCTGGCTATTTTAAATCTGCTGTGTGCTCCCAGGGGTCTCAGTTATCCAGCCAGCTCCTTCTGACTTGGTTGCCTTTTTTTTTTTTTTGTCACTGGTATAACCTGTGCCATAGGTCATCCCTCTCCATCACTGCACACAGACCACTTGCTACTGGCACTCAGGTCTGGGTGGAAATTGGGCTGGTTTGTGTCAATTCCTCATCTTATTGCAATCTCCTAAGACTCCAGCTCTCCAAGAGTTTTGTACCTGACTGAGGTGGTACTACTGTGAGTGGCTCTTCCTTTCATGTCCTCTTTTCCACTTGGTGGCTCCCTGTCATTTCAGTGTTCTCCCTATTCCCTTTATACTTTTACTACATATCTGTTCCCTATACATACAACTGTGATTGTGACTGTATTCCTTTGCATATGTTCCCTGACAATCTCTTGCAATCAATTTGAGATCAGCAGTTGCCTATTTGAAATCTTGCCCTGAATATCTGACTTAAATACATGCTCTTCACCTTCTTCATCTTTTGCTTTTTCATTTTTCTCAACAAAATTCTCTCTATTCTCAGAGCAGGTAATTCCTGCTTTCATCTTTTTAATTTGCTATGTTTTTAAATATCTTTGTCATTTCTACTTTTTAAATGGCTGTTGATCGATATCCAATACATACATTTTAGCAAAGTGATCATCCCATGCAACTAAAATTTCATAGCAGCACTTTCCCTGCTAGCAAAGGTGGGCTTGGTAGTGTTTATAGGCGATTAATGGCTCCTCAAGTTAAGTGCCTTTCTGTTTCTGAAAGGAAAGCCATATGTCTGACTTTCTCCCCTCCAAGGAGGGGTGATATAGCTGCTTTTGCCAGTCATATGAAAGATATCATATGCAGAGGCAGGATCGAAACTAGTGCAAGGGGTTTACAACTTAAGAACCATTGTCTGGTCCCTCATCCTTTTGCTTCCCATGCTACCAAGTACTGTGTCAAATTTCCTTCTCTTGCTCAAGTAGTGGTCCTTGCAATACTGTATCTCTTGTCATAGTTATTACAGTAGGTCCTTCTTCAACAACTATAAAGTCACCTCACTTATGCAAGTTAAGCCATACAAAGCCACAATTCTTGCATGCTAATGTCACAGTCCAGCATCTTTTTCCCTTCCAGATTTAAATCACTGCATTAGCTTTTTACCTCATTCCACATGAAGCAGAAACTCACTGCTGTTAATTTTCAGACACTTGGTACTTCTGTCTACTGATGTATGTCAGTTTGAACCCAGCAGACACACTACTTTTACAAAATAGTAGGGACCATCTATATTCCCTGCTACCCTTTCTTTAAGCAAACCCATGTGCCTAGAACATTGTGCTGGATGTTGTGCCCTGCAGCCTCACTTTTATTCTCATGTCCCTCCTCAGTTCCATTCCGGTATCCTCTCCTTTCTTCTGAATTTTGCCATTTGTAATACTAAATGTCCAAAAATATTGCTCCTTAAATATCAAAACTGAAGTGCTGTGGTGCTTTATGGAGATGTACATCTCATTATTCATTGCCTGGTGTCTAAGGAAGAGCAATCTTTGACACAAACTTTTTTCATGGTTGAGATATTTGTATAGTCATTCTCTCACATGGATACTTCATGTCTAAAAAGATCTTAATCTATATGACACTCTTCCTCAGCAGTGGCAATAGTAGGGTTTCTGGCCACTAGAACTCACTAGAGTTCTACTCTTCAGTTTGGAACCCTTGCTGTCTAGACAACTTAGGTAAAACCTGCTAGTGACTTGTAGAGGTATTTTCTGAGGGACATTTGTGTGTGCATACTGAGAACATGACTGCACAAGTAAAAAGCCTAGAAAGAATCTTCCAGTGTTCGTAGGCACTGTATTAATCTCAAGCTCATATAACAGCAGACATTGTTGGTTATTTTCTCTCACAGTTATCCTGTAATTACTGGTAATGTTGCTTCACTTCACTTTAAGGCATTATACTTTCTTCTATAGGCATCCCCTTGATTAAGTTTACTTAGGTATAAGGTTATAGGTGGTACCTGTTTCCTGTTGTTCAGACCATCACCTGTCAAAGTAAGTTTTCTACAAAGAAAATAGTGTATGTATCCTTTGAACATGCTAAATCATGTATGTGAACTACCCTCAAGAAGTTCTACTGGATGTGAAGATTTCGTAGCTTGATATAAAGGATTTGTGAAAATAGCTCTGTGTCTATGCATATAGAGGGAGACGCTTGATACTTCTCTCAGTTTTAATGTTTTTGTTGAAATAAAATTTGTTATTGTATGTGATACTGTATGTGACTCTACCAGAGTATGTGATTTGTTATTATATGTGACTCTGGCTGAGGCCGTATCTTGGTCTGCATTTTGTACAGTGGCAAGCAAGCATTCAATGCAACATCCTTGATACACAGGCAGACCAATTTGTAATATGGGTGCTTTAATAATGTCTAAACACAAAACCTGGGCACTTTATTAAGGTCCTCAGGGTTCACACAGTTTGAATCAATTTGGCAATAATGTTGGGTACTTTATAAAAGCAAAACTAAACAAACAAGCAAAAAAGAGATTCACTTGAGACACAGAAGTTTGAACATTATTCAAACCACAAAGCAAAAAAGGTGCAGGGCAATACAACTGGTAGCTGCTGAAACAGAATCACAGAATCACAGAATTTCTAGGTTGGAAGAGACCTCAAGATCATCAAGTCCAACCTCTGACCTAACACTAACAGTCCCCACTAAACCATATCCCTAAGCTCTACATCTAAATGTCTTTTAAAGACTTCCAGGGATGGTGACTCCACCACTTCCCTGGGCAGCCTGTTCCAGTGTCTAATGACCCTTTCGGTAAAGAAGTTCTTCCTAACATCTAACCGAAAACTCCCCTGGCACAACTTAAGCCCATTCCCCCTCGTCCTGTCACCAGGCACGTGGGAGAACAGGCCAACCCCCACCTCACTACAGCCTCCTTTAAGGTACTTGTAGAGAGCATTAAGGTCGCCCCTGAGCCTCCTCTTCTCCAGGCTGAACAACCCCAGCTCCTTCAGCTGCTCCTTGCAGGACTTGTTCTCCAGGCCCCTCACCAGCTTGGTCGCCCTTCTCTGGACCCGCTCAAGCACCTCGATGTCCTTCTTGTAGCGAGGGGCCCAAAACTGAACACAGTACTCGAGGTGCGGCCTCACCAGAACCGAGTACAGGGGGACAATCACCTCCCTATCCCTGCTGGTCACACTGGTTCTGATACAAGCCAGGATGCTGTTGGCCTTCTTGGCCACCTGAGCACACTGCTGGCTCATATTCAGCCGACTGTCCACCATCACTCCCAGGTCCTTCTCTGCCTGGCAGCTCTCCAACCACTCATCTCCCAGCCTGTAGCTCTGCTTGGGGTTATTGCGCCCCAGGTGGAGGACCTGGCACTTGGCCTTGTTGAACTTCATGCAGTTGACCTCAGCCCATTGGTGCAGCCTATCCAGATCCTTCTGCAGAGCTTTCCTACCCTCGAGCAGATCGACACATGCACCTAACTTGGTGTCATCTGTGAACTTACTGAGGGTGCACTCAATGCCCTCGTCCAGATCATCGATGAAGATATTAAAGAGGACCGGCCCCAGTACCAAGCCCTGGGGGACGCCACTAGTGACTGGCCTCCAACTGGACTTGACTCCATTTACCACGACTCTTTGGGCCCGGCTATCCAGCCAGTTTCTAACCCAACGAAGCATGCTCCAGTCCAAGTCAAGAGCAGCCAGTTTCTTGAGGAGAATGCTATGGGAGATGGTGTCAAAAGCCTTGCTGAAGTCAAGGTAGACCACATCCACAGCCTTTCCCTCATCCACCCAGCGTGTCACTTTGTCATAGAAGGAGATCAGGTTCGTCAAGCAGGACCTGCCTTCCATAAACCCATGCTGACTGGGCCTGATCGCCTGCTTGCCCTGCAAGTGCTGTGTGATGACTCTCAAGAGGATCTGCTCCATGAGCTTCCCTGGTACTGAGGTCAAACTGACAGGCCTGTAGTTTCCCGGGTCTGCCCTCCGGCCCTTCTTGTAGATGGGCGTCACGTTTGCTAGCCGCCAGTCAACTGGGACCTCCCCCGATAGCCAGGACTGCTGATAAATGATGGATAGGGGCTTGGCCAGCTCCTCTGCCAGTTCTCTCAGTACCCTTGGGTGGATCCCATCCGGCCCCATCGATTTGTGCACATCCAAGTGCCGTAGCAGGTCACCAACCAGTTCTTCATGGATAGTGAGGGCCACATCCTGCTCCCCATCCCCTTCCACCAGCTCAGGGTACTGGGTATCCAGAGAACAACTGGTATTGCTGCTAAAGACTGAGGAAAAGAAGGCATTGAGCACCTCCGCCTTTTCCTCATCTCTTGTAACTAAGTTTCCCCCCGCATCCAGTAAAGGATGGAGATTCTCCTTTGTCCTCCTTTTTGTGTTGATGTATTTATAAAAACGTTTTTTGTTATCTTTAACGGCAGTAGCCAGATTGAGCTCCAGATGAGCTTTGGCCTTCCTAATTTTGTCCCTGCACAGCCTCGCTACATCCTTATAGTCCTCCCTAGTGGCCTGCCCACTTTTCCAAAGATTATAAACCCTCTTTTTTCTCCTAAGCTCAAGCCACAGTTCTCTGTTGAGCCAGGCTGGTCTTCTTCCCCGCTGGCTCGTCTTTGGGCACATGGGGACAGACTGCTCCTGCTCCATTAAGATTTCCCTCTTGAAGAGCGCCCAGGCTTCCTGGACCCCTCTGCCCTTCAGAACTGCCTCCCAAGGGACTCCACCAACTAGTGTCCTGAGCAGCCCAAAGTCAGCCCTCCGAAAGTCCAATACAGCGGTTTTACTGGTCCCCTTCCTGGCCTCGCCAAAAATAGTGAACTCCACCATTTTGTGGTCACTCTGCCCAAGACAGCTCCCGACAATCACATCCTCCACCAGTCCTTCTCTGTTTGTGAAGAGAAGGTCTAGCAGGGCACCACCCCTGGTAGGTTCACTAACCAACTGCGTCAGGAAGCTATCTTCCACGCTCTCCAGAAACCTCCTAGACTGCTTTCTCTGGGCTGTGTTGTGCTTCCAGGATATATCTGGGAAGTTGAAGTCCCCCACAAGAACAAGCGCTGACGATTTCGCAACTTCTGTCAGCTGCCTGTAGAACTCCTCATCTGTCTCCTCATCCTGGTTCGGCGGTCTATAGCAGACCCCGACCAGGATGCTAGCCTTGTTGTCCCTGCCAATCCTAACCCAAAGGGACTCGACCTTGTCATTCCTAGCCTCGAGTTCTACAACATTGAAAGACTCTCTAATATAGAGAGCCACACCACCACCCCTTCTGTGCTGCCTGTCCCTTCTGAAGAGCTTATAGCCAGGCATTGCAGCACTCCAGTCATGAGACTGGTCCCACCACGTCTCCGTGATGGCAACCAAGTCATAGCCTGCCTGCTGCACGATGGCTTCCAGCTCCTCCTGTTTGTTACCCATGCTGCGTGCATTGGTGTAGATGCACTTCAGCTGGGCCATTACCTTATCCTCCGGCCTTGCCATTGTTCCCCCTGGCACAGCCCCAACAATCCTTGCTTCAGCCCCATCCCCCTTCTTACCTAGTTTAAAGCCCTCTCAATGAGCCCTGCCAGCTCCTGGCCCAGGATTCTCTTTCCCCTAAAAGATAGGGACCCATCTGCGGCCATCAGGCCAGGTGCCGAGTAAAGTGCCCCATGGTCGAAAAACCCAAGATTTCTGTGTTGGCACCAGCCCTGGAGCCACGTGTTTAACAGGTGGGCTTTCCGTGTCCTCTCTGTACCCCTCCCTGCCACCATAGGGATGGTAGGTAACAGGTCTGGTAGTTGGAAGAATCTCCTCCATGTTTCACCGATGCAAATCTTTCAAAGGCAAGAACTCAATGAACTTCAACTTTCCCAAGCTGTAGCAGGTAAAGAGATTTGAATGCATCTTCTAAATTGGATGAAATAACAGTTGTGTAAAAACATGTTTCCAGTATCTAATTGTTTTAGGGCTTTGAACTATAGCTGCACTAAGGAAGTATGACTAGTAATGGAGCACAGTATAAAATACGAGATCTGTGCACATATTGTAACCTTCATGATGCTTGGATTTTACTGTAATGAATTACAGAACTGTGTGTAAATACGCACAACAGAATTGAGTATTTAAAATTTAGGATTAAAAGATGGAGCTACCGCGTCCATGTAAATTCTATGGGGCGGGGTCTGATTCTTCCTCAGCATTTGCATTATGCCCCAATTAATTGAGGGGTCTTGGCCATGGACCTGGAACAACAAGAATTTGAGGATAAATGAATCCTCGAGAAGCCCAAATCATAGCAGTCATGTCTGAGAGAAAATGTCATTAAACATGCTGCATACATACTAAAATTAAATCCACTAAAGGGATGCTTAGTCAGAAGATTTTACAAAGTTGGGGGCTTTGTATACAAAACCCATAATACATTGTGCATGTATATTAGGCAATAATTTCCAGCTTCCTTAATTTGTTTACATTTTTCCTAATTACTGTCCTTAATTTTTTTTCATTACTTCCCACAATGTTAAATCACATAAACATCTACAATGTGCATAGTACTTATCACTATCCAACTGAAAGTATAACAAAGTCTAAATCTGCTAATTTTGTGGTTGTGCGGAGGCATCTGTACTGTAGCAAGGTCACAGCAGAGGGCCACACGTGGGGACTCCTGGGCTCCAGTCTTTGATCTGCCAATAAGTGGTTCTGGCTGCCATCCAGCTTTCACTGACATTAATGTTAAAACTTATACTGAGTTTAATGACTTGTGAGTAGTACAGTTGTTCTATGCCTTGATTTACTTCTACCAAAAAAAAAAAAAAAAAAAAAATTGCATGAAGAAAACTGAGTGAACCTTTTTCCCCCCCACAAAATCATTTTCTAAGAGGAGGAGGAAAAAGATGGGGAACTAACTATTGAAACAGGCAAAAGTATGACTAAATAGAAGAGAAATTCAGTACATGCTTTGGGTTGGAACACAAAGGGCTTCTATGTAATGTTTCGATGTGTCCCTACACTTTGTCTTGTACCTGAAGTATGGAGTTCACACCTCTGATGCCTGCCTCTTAGGAAGTTAATGCATTGTCCACTTTCCAGGAAAAGCCCTAAGTAGAGAAAAGAGCCTTTTTTCTTAAATAAAAAGGGGAGTATAAGATGGGCCTTATTTTTCTTTGTTTTCTCCAAAACTGTTGTAGCCACCAACCAAGACCAGGACAAACAACAGCCTCCATGTCATGTTAACAACTTCTGTTATGCAGCTGGCCACTTCTTTCCAAATTTTCATTTTTCACATGCCAGGAAATAAAATATTTTAGGTCAAACAGAACATTTCTTTTAGCTTGAAAATGAATGTTTTCCCTTTCCCTAAAGGCAAAAGTGATTGTGGGTCATACTGAAACCAAAAAGTATATTAGATTCAACTACCAAAATCATTTATTCTCACAGCTTCATGGCAGGGTGTTTTTCATGGCAAATTAACAACTGTATATGCTTTGGGACCTTCAGATGAAAGAGATTATAGAAATTGAAAGGATTCTTAGGTGTATTTAATTTGCCTTTAATAACAGGATAAATGAAATAATCAGTATATTAAATATACCCGAAACATTTTTGGAATGTATAATCTGTTGGAAAGGAATAAACGGTTTATGTTATTACTGGGAAGTGAGGTATATATAATCCACTGTGTGTGGTTGTCATCAAAGCCCTACCAGGAATGAAAAACTAAATGTGCTATTTTTACCTTTTTTTTTTTTTTTTTTCTTTTCCCTGCTTTGTTTGTGGCTTTAGCAGAACAAAAAGAGACCTGGATAAAACGAGAAAGATTGTTTTGCATTTATCATGATTGTGTTTGAGGCACTGTCTTTAGTGTGAAGGCACAATAAGCTTTTCATTTATTATTTGCATTACAGAAGCCTAGGCTGGTATTAAAATACCACAATCCCAGGCACTCTGTGTACTCGCAGGGAAAAGCAGTCACTGCATCCAGAGTTTGTGATAAAATAGGACAAATGATGAGAAGCAAACAGGGTTACAGAGGATTATTGCTGTTTAATTCTTACCTGGAACATAAAGTCAGTTTTTGGTTCTGGTCGGCTGCAGCCCCCATTCTTCACTCTCTCAGAACATTCTGCCTTCACCTGACATTACTCTCCCACCAGCCCATAATTTCATCACAAACCCACAATTTCATCTGTGGTCTTTCTGTCCACAGATTTCAGTAGAGGTAGTGGATGAGTGTAATACATGATTCAGTAGATGGTGCACACATGCATGCCTTTGCTCTTTTAACTTTGTTGTGACAGAATTTTAAAAATATACATTTAAAAATATACATATTCCTTTTATCTCCCAACCCTGACCTGGCAGGAATGTTCATTTAAAGAAGACAGTGATAATGCCAAATGAGCTTAATCAGTCTTAAATCCTTATCATTTGTAAAAGAAAATGGGATGGTGCAAGCCTAGTCTTATTTTATTTCAGTATTTTAACAACAGATGCAATGCTGCCTTTGTTATTATCCTTTATTCCTCAGACAGTGTTCCCCCTTCTAATTATTACTTGTCGTCTTCAGTAAGATGGAGAAATGGCGTTCTTTGAGCTCAGGTAAATATCAAAGTAATCTTACTTGTAATGACATAACTGCATTAACTGGGGAGTGAAGTGTAATGAACTAAAAAAGGAATTTAGTATGCTTTCCAAATTAAATAATGTATTAATTTCTTCCAAACAGAGGTCCCCAGCCCCACTTGAAAACAGTGGTACTTTTAAGTACCTCAAAAGTTTGTGGGCACGTTAGGGAACAGCAGCCAAGAAGCAAAAGGCATTAGAGCCACCTCTTTCTGTACAGTGCTCTGTGGGGAATAGCTGGAGATGGTCTGAGCTGCCCATCACAACTCCACAGGGGCTTTGTCTGGCTGCCAGCCAGGGTACCCTGCAAGGGGACTACATAGGTAGTGGAGATGTGTGCCAGCTTCTGACAGAGGTCACCAGCAACAAAGGGGAACACCAGCCCCCAACCATCCTCTCTTTCTTGTTTTCAGTCTCTTCAGCCATGGGTACTGAGACACATTAATGCCACAGCTTTTGCTGCCATTCCCCATCATCTGAACATCCCTTCACAAGGGCAGCCACCTCTTGCATTCCCTTGCATTATGTAGCATTTTCTTTGCTACCTTAGTTCCTGGAATCATATATATGTGTATATGTACATGTATATTAGCCCTTCAAAGGCTAGTTCTCAGCTTTTGTGATTGCGGAGAATAGTTTGGATATATAAATTCTGAAAGGTTCAAAAATCAAAGGCAAGTCAAAAAGCAGGCTTGATTCTTCAGTGTCTCCCTTCAGGCAGCTCTCATTTTTTATTTTATTTTTTGGTTTGTTGTTGTTTTAGGTATATGCTTATTTAAGAGGCATAAGGGAAGATAAACTCATTCAATTTATTGATTTTAACCTCTTGGATAATTCTTCAGGATTCTGCTGAAAAATGTTTTGCAGTTAAAACAGAGAAAGCACAAGCCCATACTTAACCACTCTTCAGAACAACCATTTTCAAAATTGTTGCATTCTTATTCAGCTAGAGAGAAGGGGACTTTGGAAGAGGAATATTTGGTGGAACTAAAAAATTTGCACAGTATCACATATATAGCAAAACCAATAGAACTGGCCATAAATTTGCCATTTAAGGCCTACGTTAAAAAAAATCCCATATTGTTCATTTAAATTCAATTTAATTTTATTTAAACCAATACTTAATGAATGATCTTTTTCACTTTGGGAAAAACTCACGGGTCTGCTTCACAGGCTTATTTTGTGAGCCTTTCCATTTTTCTATGCATTATTCTTGTGTTATTTCAAAACAAGTCAGTATTCACAGAAATCTCCACAGGCTGATATTGGAATGTCATTTTTTTCATTAAAACATAAGCTGTTTCAATCAGAACTCAGATAGAGCTGGTCTTGATTATTTTTTGAAGTAAAACATAATTTCATCTCCTGCACCATCGTGAGAATTCATGAAGTTTGTATTACGCATTCTCTTTAATACCCCGGATTAAAGCAAAAGTAAGAAGAATCTGTAAAATATTTATTTGTTTATTTATTTTATTTATTTATTTTTAAAAAGAGGCTCTCAGGATATTTAGTTAGGAGAGGAGCATTGAAGCAGCATTGCCTGGGAGACCCAGAAAATATTTATACGTTCAGTTGTGCCCCCTCCCCCCCTCCAAGGGCGGTTTGTGGGGTCGGAAGCTCTGTGACTGGGCGGCGTCCGCCTCGAGGAGGAGGAGGAGGCCCACAGAAAGTCGGGTTCCTGCCCGGTGTCGCAGCCTCCCTACGGCCCTCCGGCCCCGCGCGGCCGCAGCCGCTATTTCCTCGACGTCCGAGGCGCTGGGCGGCCGGTGGGCAGCTGCCGGCCCCGGTGGCTACCCCCGCGGAGGCGGCCGAGCTCGGCGATGCGCCTTCCCCCTCAGCTAGCCCTTCCCCGTTGGCGCGGAGCTGACCGCCTCCTCGAAGCGGGGCTTTGCGGTAGGAAACGCCGAGCCGCGAGGCTATAAGGTCGAAACGAGTGGCGGCGGCACGGCCGCGGGCGGCAGCGCCCCCTCGCGGCGAGCTGAGAGGAGGGTTAGGTGCTTCTACCCAGCTCCTCGCCCTCAGAAGCCTCAGACCTACACTTGGGTATTTCTGCAGAAGACCACAGCACGCGCAGGGACGCTAGCTCATCGCCACCCCTCTGGGCCTTGGAGGTCTCAACCCTTATGCGTGTTATTTTTAATATATCTGTGAAAACGCTAACCACAGTCTGGGCTGACAGCCACAAGCTGAAGAAACACCTGCAGCCAGGTGATACTGAGGTGTGTGATATGTAAGTAAACAACTAAATACACAGATAAATTGCTCACTTGATATATAGATCAGTCATTAGATGGCGTTTTCTTCTAGGTCATTCGTTAATCACTAATGCAGCTTCACCAGTTAAACATTTAAAAAGTTATTTTTCTCCCTCTCCTTGATCTCTTTTTTATGCCAGTGCAGGTGGCACATTCTCACAGGGAGCTACTTTTTTTTTTTTTTCCAAAAGATCTAAAATTGTGTTATGGATTTTTATTTTTAGCTTTTGAGACTGCATTTGTAAGGCTTTGGAAAACAAAAATGTAGCCTTTGACTTATTAATATAGTCATGTTCTTTTATTTGGCAAAGAGGGCAGAATTCCTGCTTTTTAAAACTTTCTCATTCTTTTTCCTGATGCACAGGTGAAAAAGTACATAGCAATTGAAAGCATCAGAATCTATTTTTTCTTATAGCTTATTTCTCTCAGAAAAGGGGTTTGCCTTCCTTGTTTTACTCGAAATGTGAGAGGAAGGTTATGTTCCAACTCCATCTAGTTTTTTTGTTTGTTTTTTGAAGGAGAATGAATGAGAAGAAGCTAAAGGAGAGGGCTTTTTACTCTTTACTTTGTTTCTTCTTCCATGGGAGAAGAAAAACGGTGACAGAACATTTCTTCCTACACAGTCTATTTCAAGTTATTTGCCATTTTCTTTGAGAAGAAGGGGTTTAGAGAGCACAGAACTGGAATAAATCCCCTCCAAAAGTGCAATTTTTTCCCCAAATATTTCCCTTATGTGAGACAGATGTAAGATAGCGAACAACATTAAAAATGTTTGCTTTTAAAAGTACTCATAGGAATAGTAAGAGTGTTTTTTTCTTAGGTTTTCAAGTAACTTTATCCTCCCCTGAAGTGTCTGCTGTTTTGTGGAAGTTGTTTCGCTTTTTTAGTAAAAATCTGCAAACTGAAATGTTATTTCAACAGAAGCAAAAATAAAAGTGAGAAACTTGGCAGAAAGAAAAAAAATAATTCTGCCAACCATCTTCCATAGTTACATGAAGTAAAAAACAGAGTCATTGCTGGGGCTGCTGTCTTGCAGAGTCACTTGCTCAAGTGACATCTGGTCTGGATGAGGAAATTCACATAATCAGCATGTAGAGTGTAAATCGGGTGTCCTACATGCTCTTTTTGTCATTGAGATCTAAATAAGGCTGTGAAGAAAGTCTTTGGTCACTGCGTAAAACCTCTGTTCCAGGACTGTCCAGGTCAGCTCTGGACGTGTAGTCATCCAAGACAGAAAAAGTAGCTCTCTGTGGCCATGTGCCACCTTCACAGGAATAAAGAGATCAAGGAGAGGGAGTAGCAAAATGGGAATTTAATGTTTGCCCATCAGCACCATCAGAGGTATGACAAAGAGTAGAGCAGAGACTGAGGCTCTTCATGCCTCTGTTCCAGAAGGGCAATCTTATATTTTTAGAGGTAATAATTTTTCAGTCTGCTGAAACACTAATAAAACTATAGATTGTTAAATATTTGAAGGTGAAGCTATTTCTGCAGGCGGATTGCTCTGATATCTCCTTAATCAGTTTCCAAGCTGGGTGATGTCATGCTCTGTGTTTCTAATCTATAGACCAGAGCACGCCATTATATGTTTAAAGTCATATGAGGACGTTATGGCAGAAAACTGCCACATTGCTATTATGTAGCTAACAGTTCTCTAGGAAATCTTAATTTACAAAAAGTCCTGGTTTCACCATCCTAAAGGATCCAGTGTCTTCCCGAGCTTCTCAAACCCCAACCTTCTACATTACAGTAGAGAACTCAGACTCAGGATTTTCCTTTCCTGATGGAATCTTTTCTTTCCTATAATTCCTGTTATGACCTAGGATAAAGCATGTCTCCCACTCATCTGTGTCATCCATCAATGGAAGTATAAGCTTTCCTGGGTAATTGCTAGAGAACTTAGTTGACTTTTAAGTTCTAAATAACTTGCACTTTGCTGCTTTTCCTTTTGTGTAGCAGGGAAGGGTGCAGTTCCACAGTCAGTTATGTTCATGATTTCCTGATTCTGCCTGGTGAACTTGTTAAAGAGTTTCCAGACTGGGTGTTGTCATGCCCTGATTATTGCTCTGTGGACCAAGCATACACTCATATATATTTAAAGCCATATGAGGAAGATACAGCAGAAAATTTCTATGGGAAAGTATTGGTAGGAATACCTATTAATGTTTCATTAACTGTTTGTAAAACATGCATTAGGGTCTTCTCCAGTTTTAGTGGCTTCATTGAGATCTGTTGGAAGACTTGAGCATGAGGCAGTGATCTCACAGTCCATTGCCATCTCTGACCTGGAGCTGGGCAGCAGACTGCCCACTTGACAGCGATCAAATTTTATTGGTCTCAATTGGACCTGCAGTCTGTGGGCTGACTGTGCTGCTAGGCTTCACATAAAAGCTAATCTAGTCAAGTAGTATGCTTTCCTGGATACGTTTTGTGAGTCAACAGGCTGCTGCCCTGCTCCTTGCATATCAAGTTGCTATTAATCCCCTATAATTCCAGGCACATAAAGCTTTCCTGAGCTACCTTTACAATTAGTAGAGGAAGATCCCTCCTGAGGGTAATTCAATTTGTAAGTAAGGCGCAGTGCATCTTCAGAGCACAGTTTGGCTCACGTAAGTGGTTCAGATGAGGTGGAATCTGATCATTGCATCTACTTTCTTCCCCAATAGAAATGCCAGTGAAGTCTGTTGCATCTGGGTCACACAGTGTCAGGAATGATAGTTGCTGAAGAAAATCAGACTATAGACATACAAGACAAGGAATGACAAAATCTGATCAGTCCTTCCAGTGCTAAAGGACAGTGAGGCCAATGCTGACCTGCCAACATGACCTTATTCTGGCAAGCACTGCGTGCTGAGTCAACAGTGGCTCATATCTCCTCTAGTGCTAGCCAGGAAGTGCAGCTGGTACCCCGTCTTCCCCTTCCTCAGCTGCGGTCATTCCATAGCAATATCACACTTCACTCCCCACAAAAGAATTCTGCTCCAGAAACCTCCATCTGTAGCAGACCTTTTTTTTTTTTTTTTTTTTCTTCTTAAGCTAAGTTTTGGAGTAGTGGGGATATGTAGGTTAGGGGGAGGGCAGGATGCCACAGCACTGCCGTAGTCACTCAGACTGTAGACCTAACCCCTATGCAGCAACAGATACTGAGTTCATGGGCCGTGCAGCCACCTGTACCAGTCTGTACCCCCGCAGCACTTCCTCTTGTGGGCTGACCAGCAAGTATTTTGACATCCTTCAGCCTTCATCTGTATTTCTGCAGTGTGATGTTTCTATTTGTCAACCAAACAGGTAATTAGAAATACTCTCTCAAATTGCCTTGATCTAAAAATGTACTTGATTCTGGTTTCAGAAATTCCAGATGAAGGCATCCTAGTCTCCACAGGGAGGCAGCAGAATACCTGTTAATTTGCTTCTAACTTTGGTGCTTTTTTTCATTTTTTTTTTTTCCTTTTTCTTTTAAAGAAATCTTTTACCTAGTATATATATATTGTTTGGACAAGAGATTTTATGAGTTTTAAGTTCAGCGGAAAATTCTTTTTTTTTTTCTTGCCAAGACAAAGATTGCCAAGGTCAACATTCCCCTTATTTCCCACTGAGCTGCCACCAAAATGATTTACAAGTTACATAAGAGCCATTTTTGAAAGAAATATGCATTTAATTAGAAACTAAAAATCATGGTGTCTAACTGAGACAGTATAATTAAAGTTTTGTCAATATTTCCATTGTTTGGGGGGATTTATCACCCCAGGAAAAGAAAGCATTCTAGTCTGCTGAAAGTTGCAATTTTATGCCTTGATACTATAAATATAATTACTATAAAATAAATAGGATTGTCTATAATATGGGAAATAATAGTGCTATAAAGCCCAGCATTTCCAAACCAGGTATTCAAATGCCATGGAACAAACACTCCTCCCTTTCAATTTACATGATTGTCTTAAATATCATGACACTTTAAAGAAAATAGATGTGAAGTGTTTTTTTTTTTTGTCTTCTGGCTTATAAGATTTTATAATTTATATTTTCAAGGTGTTTCTCTCCAAGAACAGGGATTAAAAACTTGCTTCTGTTTACTTTCTTCTAAATGGAAGTTCAGATTTTTGCATACTCAAAGGATCCCAGAAGCTGGGTTTTGGAAAAAAAGTGCAAATATAGAAGGACATTAAAAACCCACGTCTTCACCAAATTCAACTACATTTAACTTTTCTGGACTGCCTGCATTCTTAGAGCAGTTTGCTAGAAATCAGAGGAGAAATGCTTTAAATAAAATAAAAGCAGAATGGAAAAGCCAGGAAGATTTAGACTGTGTATTTGCTTCAGTCAAAAGCAGTTGAATTTAAATTTGTCCTTCAGAGAAATGACGAATTCTTTTTTTTTTTTTTTTTTTTTGAATGCAAGAAAATTCATCATGTATAACTATTAGCTTTATCTACAGAAGACAAATCTTGTTGCTAGGAGCAGATTTATTTCTTTAATACTGTTCTAAAATAGGCATCGGCCCACCTCTGACGTTCATTTCACAGAAGACATTTCAAGTAAGCTTTCTCAAATCCTTTGCAGCACCATGTATTTGCAAAACACTTTTCTCACGGAAGAAGTCAATTAAGTGATCCAGTGCAACAAATTCTACATTCCTGGTAAGACTAGTTGTTGTTGTTTTTTTCTCACTCATTCACTGGGTCAACATCTCATTTTTGGGAGATAGGAAAGGAAGATCTTGCTCTCTTCGTGGTCTCAGCTGAGATTCTCTTCTCACATCGTTTTGATCCAACACAGCACTAGATTTATCTTTTTTCAACCCCCAGCTACTTGAGAAAGACAAGGAGGAATATTTTATATTTTTTGTCCCTCATAAAATTCCATTGAAAGTAAAAGCCTTAAATATTGTAGTATATTTTTATCACATACAGAGATTTTCTTTATATCCTTTTCAACACCACAATTCAAAACTGATCTGTATGAAAAGCTTTCAGACTTTTGATAAAAACACACTTATTTAGGAAACAATAAACCAAAGTGCTTGCCAGGGCCTTGAGAATGGTAATAGGCCTGGTCATGCCCAGGTGGCACATGGGCATTAATGGCCCCAGCTGGCCTCGCTTGGAACCCCCCCACACACCCCAGCCTGAGCTACATGGCAGAAAACCTGAGGATGAAAAGCTGCAGAACTGATTACCGAAGCTGTAAGCCATCTTGTCCCTCTGAAATACAGGTAGAGGTAAACGATAGCAATTCAAAGCCACTGATGCTGTAAAGCTGTGGTGAGCAACTGCCTTTTTTCTCCATCATGAGAGTAGCTTTTGCTGCTTTGGAGATGCTTCATTCCCCATGCCAGCAGTTATGCAGACCTATAGGAAAGGGTTGGATGCCTCATGGTGAGATGGAGTGTGTGGTGTTAGGTGAGATCCACAGGACAGCTACAGCTCTGTGATCAGTCATAAACAGGACCTTAAAGCTTGGGCATAGCCTAGCAGCATTTGGAAAGATGCCCTGGAACACAATTGATTCCTGCAGAAGTGCACCTGCCAAATTGCATCCTGGCAGTCACACTCCATGACCCTTTGAGTGCTTAAGGTCTGAGCTACTGAGGCCCCAAACGCTGGTGAGGCTTGTTCAGGCTTTGCACTGTAGCATCCTTAGGGAGAGAGGGGGCAATCCACTGCCTCTGTTCGGAGGCTTTGATGAAGCTATGATATCATGGTTTAGCCTGAAGAACACTATGAAGGTGTAGAGGATGTGAGCTTTCCTGAAGCTTTCATTCCTCCTATGGATAACTGATTATCTTTACAGGGCTACTGTGAGGAGGAATGCATTACTGACTCTGAAGCACCAGAACTACAGGGATGTCCTGTTAGTACTGTCACCAGGTAATTTATTATTTGTCTTTCCTTCTGGGCTGCCTTATCTCTTGTATTTGGAGTGGTATTATCATGCCAAGTTCTCCTGCTGTTTGCAATTATATTTTTAAAAATGGTGTTTTAATTAAAGAATAAATCCAAAGAGCTGTTGCGCAGGATCACTGTGTTCCAGCAGTAACAGGGAGCCAAAAAACTGACAATAGGGCATCACTGAAGATTTTTGTGATATCTTCTGTAAAATAAGTGGCTTCAAATTACTTGATTCTGGCTCAAGAAATGGCAACTCATCTGCCTTTAAAGTTAACTGATCTATTTTTCACATAATTGCTGCAGCATTTACGTTCTCTGCTGTCCCTTTCACTTCAGATGCAGCCACATTTCAGTAGTATATGAAATTATTCCTATATATAGCATGCAAAACATTTGGGGATCTTTCCAGTGAATAAGTCCCAGATACATGTCAGGTATCAGTCCAGCACCTCATAGTAGGCATCACAGTCAAGAGCACAGATTTGGAGCATTTTTGGCTTCAAGCTCAAAGCTGAACCTACAATTTGGCCAGGATGTTTGAATATTAGACATGCTGAGCAGAAAAAGCAAGTTTGTCTGTATCTTTGTTATGGCAATGAGTTCCTCACCCTGGATTAATTGCAGTTTCCAGTGAGGTTGACAGTTCTATCCATTTCCATAGGAAAGGAAATATCAAAGAGTAGGCTCAAAGGAAGCCTTTCCAGGGAAGTAGGATTTGCCATACCTATCAGGTCAGATATCCTGTTCCTAGCAGCTGTCAGGACATGAGATGTTTCAAAGGAAGTTGGATAAGTTTACCTAGCCAAAACATGACCGACTAATGCTGAAGAGAACTGAGGTAAGCATTGCTTTAGATGGTACAGGACTCAGCTTTCTGCCTGGCACATAAAATCTGATTATGTCTGGCTTTATAGGCTTTACAGCTGTAAAGTTATTGGCAATCATATTACGGCTTCTACAGTTTTGCCAGCTCTTATCATTGTCCATTTCAATTACCCGCTCAGCATCTGCTATGCTTTCTCAAAGGTTTTACAACCAAAGTAGGATAAAACTTAATGGGGAGGCACCATGTAATTTTTTTGTGATCAGTTGCATGATTACTCTGCAGTGGGTCCTGAATTTTTGGAACAGATGGTAAGTGGGCAGAGAGCTGGAAGCCTTAGGACCACCTAGCTTCAGCTGCTTTCCTGCCCAGTGAATTACAAGATGAGGCCTTCCTTAACATTTTTAAAAGTGCCATATACTAGAGACACCACCAGTTCTTTTGCCATTCATTGAAATGTCCATTGACTTCAGAGGACAGACATCTTAAATTAACCTTTACTGAGTGCAACACTGAAGCTGTACAACACAAAATATTCTATCCATTCTTTCAACATGTTTTGTCTTTTGAAAACTTTAGCTGATGGCAGAATTTGTCATCCAGAGCAAATGAACTTGAGATTTTCTAATTCTCTAAAAATTCTCTAAATTCTCTAATTCTCTAAAAGAAATTCTCTAAAAATCAAGAATTTACTTCCTTCTCGTCTGCTGTTCCCTCCTCCTTGGAAATCACAGGCATATGGTGTTGTGCACTAGTGTTACTTCCTTGCTTCTAGGAATGGATTGGCTAGAAATTCAGCTGGTAGTTTAGCCATACTTACGTCTAATTATCTTTACAGGAAAAAGAGTCTTGGAAACAGTAGGCAAGTGAAACAGAGAAACAGAAACTTATTTAATTCCTTCCTAAGCTTTTGTCTTTTTTTTTTTTCCCTGAAGTGTTAGGCACAGTAAAGGGAGAATGTTTATTTGAAATTTTGTTGAGAAAAGGTGAAAGACTAAACAGTCTTTGTTCTTCTGAGTCATTTCATTTTTTATATTGAATGCTCCTTCTCTAAGTCTCTGGAGACATCATATCCTTTAAAATATAGGAAAATCAATAGAAACAACGGTTCCAGCTCAGCTTCCCCTGAATTTGATCAAGTACATTCAAATATTAAGTGATAAACGGGCTAATTTACACATCTGCAAAACTAGCATTCACATTTTACTGACTCCCAACAGTGTCATGAGCTTTAATTATTAGTTGTAAAGCACTGCCATTTCTCTGAATGAAAGGTAGAACTTCTTACATTAGAAAATATGTAGATGTATCTTCTGCTGTGTTTGTGACAGCTGTCTAGAGGACTAATAACTTTGCAGATTTACTGCTGTGCTCTGCTGCTTTCTGCTAGCCTGCATTATTTATTTATTTATTTAAAGTTTGATACTGGTGACTTTCAGAGACTGAGACTAATCCTAAATTTGTATTCAGCTGGAAGACACCTCTTAATTAACTGTTCAAGGCATTTTCCTTGCATTTTAATACCTGTAACTCAAACTGTCAAATTAATTCAAAGTGTACCACGTTATTCAGGAGAGGGGTGGTTTTCAAGTAGGTATGAAAACACATTATCTGAACTCCCTGCAGTATCATTGAGACAACACAGTGCAGAAGTAAAATCTCTTCTGACTGCAGCATCACCAGGATGATCAACCAGAGCCTAGCTGCAGAACCAAGTCTGCATGAACTGGCACCTCCACAAATAGTTTTAAGAACAAGCTGGTTGCAGTGACAAGTCAACAAAACATTTGTGCAGTTTCTTATCTGGAGGCAATTTCTAATGCTGAGTGTGTTTATATATGTTACCTCCTGGAAAACTTAAAACTGCCCAGAATGTTTCAATGAGATCACCAATCCTAATTAAAGATCACGATGAGAATATCTTACAAAGGATTATTTTTTTTTATTATTTTTTTAACTCCCAGCCCGCTGTTCCACTCTGTCAGTCTCTAATTTATTATTTTGGTATAAGACCATCCCTTTTTTTGGGGGGGTGGAAGGGAAAGGGATTGGAGTGAAAGTATGGCCTTAAATTCAACAGCAATAATCTGAAGCCTGGTCAAGTACTTATGAATTTTGGGATTTGCTGTTTGGAGTGTTCCAGATTTACTATTGTTCACTTCTTCCAAAAACAACATCAAAAAACATTTTCCTACCATTGGTTTAAAAACTAAAGAGAGACAGATTAAAAAAATGTGATTGCCTTGGCCATCCTGAAAGTGTCAAATCCCCCCACTCACTTACCGCTATTGTATTTTTTTCTGAAACCGAGGAAGTTGCCACAGCTCAGCAGCTGAGCCCTAAATAATCCACTGCAATGTACGGTGCCTTACTCCAAATGGACTTGATGGTCTCCTGAGGCTGAAAAAGACAGAGCTGTCAAGTGCTGGCAGGATGAGAAACCACCAGGTAGGCTTTTGAGTTTTCTCAATCTGTAATTCTATCAGATATATCAGTATTATTTATGGATCAGACCAGGGTATCCTGGGCCTATGCAACTAACTAGTGAATTATTGCACTTGCATTAGACTGTGAATTCTGGAAACATCAACTAAAGCAGTTAATTCAAAGTTGCATTATACATTCTTTATTGTTCTATTGATCTCAAATATCTGAGACTGCCAATTACAGCCATCTCTGCTTTAATCATTTTTATTTGCATTGGCAGTATAACGTTCAAGACTACAGGAGCTCATCTGTCTAAAGTGCTTGTTTTTCTCCTGACCTTTCCTTATGATAGCAACTTTATGCTCAAATGTGTTTATAACCCAGCAGTTCTCTGGCAAGTGATGCAAACCAGAAATAAGTCTGTCTCAATCCAGATGGTGATATGCATTTTGATGATTCCTTTAGTCAATATCAAAGAAAAGGATAATGTTTGATATACTTTTTTTAACCAGCACATCTTATCTGGATAACTAGAAAGCAATCCTGCAAATACTAACTCAGTGTCAGTGCTGGAGCAGGGAGCAGTATGGTACCAGTGAAGCACAGAAAAGCATAGACTGGTCTGTGGAGCTCTAAAAAATGAAAAATAAGTTGCACCACAGCAGGTCAGCAACACGTTGCAGTCACCATCATTCTGTAATTCTGCTTTTAAATTGTTTCATCTTTTGAGAATTATGACAGAAAACTCTGCAGAAACCTTTTGTGAGTTATGTGTGACAGCAAAAACATTCCAAGAGAGATAAAAATCTCATTGTTGTCGAATTTAATCACTGTATCCTAGAAGGCAGTGAATGATGCCTCTGTGGAATGCTTTATGTTATGAAATGAAATTACAAATAGTACCTGAGAGTATGCATGAAGGAAAAAGGACAAATAAAGCATAGCTTCACAGTTCTTCTATATGAAAGACCGGCTGAGGGGTTGGAATCCCTTTAGGGTAACGCAGTTTGAATCCTTCTGTACCTCAGGACCTGCTCAGCCCCTCTCATTGCTGCCATTCCTATAGTGGGGGACAATTGCTCCCGTAGGGTGGTCTTTTACTCTAAGGGCTTCCTGTTGACAAAGCAGTAGTGTCACAACTCTGTGCCAGCCTTCTTCACGGACAGAAGCAATCCACAGAAGAGAAACTGTAAGACCTTGGTAAGGCACCCTGCAAACCCTCTGTTTTCTTTGAGTGGAAGCAGTTGGAAGCCAATGCAGTGGTGGGTAGCCTTCATTTGTTAAGGGTGCTTCCCAGGAGCCCTACAGCGCCTTGGTAGAGGACAAGTGCTGCAGCCATTCAGTGTCCTCCTTCACCTCCCCAAGAAAGGGCTGAGGTTCAGTCTCAGTGCTGCCATGGTGGCCTAGGTTAGTTTTGTCCAGGTAATCCATTCGTACAACTGAAATGGAGGGGAATGGAAGGGGGAAAATAATTGTAGACATTTTAAGGCAGAGAATGAAAGATTGGCTTAATAAACAGAGTTGTACCATAATGTCGTAATATATCCACAGGGTATCAACCCTTTGTGCTGCCACCCACGAAGTTTTAGGGACAGCTTTGTTTGTAGCTGTGTGGTACAATCTGCAGACCAAACGAAGGTTGTGCCATTCCATTGAAATCTGTTGTTTCATGACTTGAAATTACATCTTCTGTTTGACATTAGACCACATTTGCACTTCCTGATTTTTTTTTTCTGTTGGCATTTCAAGAATTAGATGGTGTTTCTGAATAAAAGAAAATCCATCCATCTAGGCTGCTCTGTCAGGAGCACTTCACTTTTAGACAAATAAAATGATCTGTATCATTTCATGTTATCTTTGTCCTTCAGTCAATTATTCTTTAATCTTTATTCAATGTATTCCTTTTACCTGAAACACATGTAGCCCTGATTTTAAACTCAGTATATTCCCTACTTTCTTTGCTAATACTGATTTATGCTTCAATTTCACTTGTGAAGTTAGAGGCCAACTTGTAAACAAATGGCTTAAGAAACTAATGTGAAATGACTGCATTAGAAAACAAAACAAAAAAAGAAGAGAAAAAAAAAAAAAGAAATATGAGGGTGTCATTTCATGGACAAGCTACAGCTATGTTAACAAGATGCTTGTCTCCATTGGCTTGAAAGGTGAGAGGAATATACCGTTAGTCTGTGATGCTAAGCTCTTGACCTTTATTGTCTGTGGATCGTGACTCCATTCTAATTGTTACTAAGATTTGTACAGGCTGGTGAACAAGACCTATTATACTGCATTTCAGTGTCTAGTCAGAGGATGCATTCCATCAGTGGGTTATACCCATTGGTCCAGGAAGACAAATAAGGTCATAAACATTAGTTTGATGGTTTAGTATGGTGTTATGGTTCAGTCCTGCAGCCAGCCACTGCACAGGGAGCTGCAGAGTGCAAAGTGACACATACCCATCTGCTTCTGTGGTGACGTGATTGATAATATAGCTAACAAGCTCCCATTCTGGACAGAGGTGTCACAGGATGTCAATAGAGGTCCATCTGAAAAATAATACCCTGTGAATTGAAGTTCTTCAAGTGTGATTTTGGAATAGTGTAGAACACAGCAGGAGTCATCTGGTCTCTGTTTCTACAATGCATGAAGAACCCAGCCTGGAATGCTCTTAAGAGGTAGAAGTGTCCTGACCAGCATTTAAACTTTTCTACTCAATTCTCATGTTCAGTTTATGTTAAACCATTTTGTTTCTAGTTTGGAGACAAAAAGTTTAGTCAGACACTGAATGTCTCATTCAATATGTCACTGAATGCTTTAATTGTACCAAGAGAAGAATTTTATTGTACATATCCAAACAACAGCTTGTTTGGATATGACTTCTGTGTTTTGGTTAATGTGACGTATTATAGCAATGAATCTGACTGTGATGTGAATCTCTTTGTGTACTAACATTCACATTTGGCTATAATATGCAGAATGGTCTTCTGTTTCCACACTGGTTTCAGTATGAAGGCTAGTGAAATAACAATAGCAATAATAAACTCCATGGTTATAATTCAGAAGGGTGAAATTCAGTCTTCCATTCTGCATAAGTGCTGTCCAAACTGTGACCTGTAAATAGAGTGCTCCCCTGCCTAGACTAATGTCGTGTGATTGATAGCACAGTTCTGCCTCCATAGGAGCTATTGGTTAACCGCAGTTCCTGACTGTGGGAGCAAAAGCTGCTTCCTGGTATTTACAGGAACCCTATGTTGCCCCTACAGGGAAAGAGAGGGGCTCCAAGAAAGCCATGTCATCCTCTGTGTCAGAACTTCTGTGGGTTTTTGTCTTGACATACTCTGAAGTATGAGGCACACATCAGGAAGCTGCAAGCTGTTGAGTCAGGAAGTAGATGAGGAAACCTGTCCAACCCTTCAGTATAATGCTGTTCTCATTCATTTCTTTTTCTGCATCCTATCACAAAACCACAGTCTGTATAACCTTGTTCACAAACTGTTCAGTGCTAGAGAATAAGGGGAATTGAGCCAGCAATGAATTATTATTATGTGGCAATTTACACTTTTAAATTATCTGTGACAAAGGTGAGCCTCACCCCATAGAGAAAGGTGATTCTAGTAGTTTTTTACACTCAGAACTGGTCTAGACTGTAGATAATTGCACATAGACATGACAAAAACGTGTGTTGTTCACTTAAGACAAATGGCTTTTGATTCTTCTTCCTCTAGATTTTTATAGTTGCAGCCTTTGCTGGCCAGCTCTGTTCTAATGTATTTCTGGTTACCAGTAATGCCCAGAAGGTAAACAATTTGAGAAATATACTTGTAAGTGCTTTCATGATGTTTAGTTGTACATCTGTGCATTTCTCACTGAACAGAGTCAACATATTAAATCCACATCTTGGTACAACCCCACTGAAATGCTATAAATCAGGAATGAATTTGGTATATTTTATCAAAGTGTTTGCTAAATTTATGATATGTAGGCTATTAATCCAATCTTTTCCCAGCTCAAGAAGTTCTAGTACCTAATAGGCATTGTTTAGAAGCCCTTATCTTGTTCTTTTTCACCTTATCTTGTTCTTCTTCAGTCCCCGCTAATAACAGCCAAATTTAAACTGCTAAAAGACACTGAAACTGTGTGTGAACAAAAACATATTACTTGTTGTTTTTGTGTAGTTGAAGCAAGCAGGGCCAACCAAAACCATGTATGCTGGGTTTCACACAAGCATATGCAAAATAATCACTACCCTGAAGGTTTTGCTGTGAGGTAAAATAAACTCAGAATGCAAAACCATGTCAGCCCAGCTTCTGAACCCAAGATACTCTTCACCTGCCAGGTCAGAAACTGCACAGAGAAGCTTGCATCTGTTTATCCAGACATATAATTTCAATGCTCAAAGCGGTGTAGTAAAGATTATGCAATATTCAGGAGATGTGACAAAATGTAGGAAAGATATCAGGGGGTTGTGTCAAATGCCTACATAGCAGGTTTCATGTTACCCCTGCTATTTGATTTCATTCACTTTGATTATTCATTTTTATGCATTTTTTTCTCTTTCTTATTAAGAAGAGAATTGTCCTCCAGATATTTTTCTAAACAAAGGATTTTACAAAAGCACCTTAAACTGTGTTTGAAGTTGTGACTCTGCCCTTGACAGCAGCTGGACAGTGAGCAAAAGAAATGTGGGGGGAAAACCAAACATACACTCAGCCTGGATTGTCAGTATCGAGCAAATCACAGAATCACAGTAATGACTGAATATCATTAAAATCCCACTTTTTTTAGGCTTTTCCTTAAAAATAGGAAAGGATCATAGCAAAACAATCATTCACACAAGAATTATCATTTTGTTGAAAACCTCATCTTCCATTGTACAAAAAATCACATTTTTCATTCAGTGCCAGCTACCCAGAAGTATTCTATGCCATGTTCCAGACAGAAAAAGAATGTAACAATATCTCCTTCACAGAGACATTCTTCGACTACGATCATCTTATGTCTGTACAGGGAAAGGCATACAG